CACTGGCTACCTCAGATGGGGCAGAGCGAGATGCAGAGATGAGGCCTGCTGGCCCTGCCAGTGTTTGGAGAGAATTACATCCCCTGGGTGTATGTTTAATTAGAAGCCTGCTTGCTCTTCAGGCCACAGCTATGAAGATAAGGTAATAGATCTCTTCTTGAGAGTCTGGGGTGTATTCAGTCTGCTGTCTTTACACTGTGCCCTGGAGAGAACCTGTGAAGAACTGTTTTCTCAGTAGGCCAGCTGATGGGGCACCCACTTGAAATGGGTCTCACAGTTGGACCATTGCAGGGTCGCACCTGGGTACAGCCAGAACCAGCGCACAGACCTGTGGTCCTCCTCACTGACACAGCCTGCTCCTGGCCAGTCAGTGGTGGGGGCTCTGTTAGGGTCTCCCTGGGTGCCTGAAGCTGCCTTTGGGGTGAGTGTGTTGTATGGGTTCCGTCCCTTCCAGGCGGCCATCATGACCACTGCCCTCGAGCCCAGTCACCTGCTCCTCATCCATAGGAACACTTGCAGTCCTGTGGGACCCGTGAACAGACGTCTTGCTGGCCACCAGAGCCCGGCGATTGGGGTGATCCTGGTGGCAGCTACAAAAATCAGAGCACCTGATGTGTTGCGCTGTATTTTTTTTTTTTTTTAAAGATAGGTGGTTCTGCAATCCTGAATTTTCATCATCCTAAGTTGTTTTCTTAAAAAAACAACTTAAGACTAAACAAGTAGACAAGTACTGTTCTAACTTTAAATGACCGCATGGTTTTAAAAAATTTATTTGGCTGTGCTGGGTCTTAGTTGCAGCACTCAGGATGTTTTAGTTGCTGCTTGTGGAATCTAGCGTCCTGACCAGGCGTTGAACCCGGACTGCCTGCATGGGGAGTGTGGAGTCTTATCCCCTGGACCACCAGGGAAACCCCTGATCACACCATTTTAAAAGGGGGAGACCAGTTATAGTGGGTGGTTTGAGGGAAGGAATGAGTCATTACTCAAAATGATGAGTACTACCATTTTAGGTGGCACTAACTAGACTACTTTACCAGCATGTTTCCTACTTCAAGAATCAGAGCATCGCAGCTAGAAAGATGTTCACAGATACCACTATGGTATTTGAGTCCCTGAGGTCTTTGGTCAGTGTGCATATTTAAAGGAAGTTATGCAACATTGCCCTGAGGAGGTAGAGGTCAGAAATCTTAATGCTGAGGCAGAATCGTCAAGTATTTTTTGTCTTTAGATGTTCTGGAAAAACCCTGAAACTATTCCAAGCATTGAGAAGCTTCTTAGTAGAAACCGAATTGGGGGGCAGTGTTGGAGAAGGCTCTCTTTAGAGTCCCTTGGACAGCAAGGAGATCAAACCAGTTAGTCCTAAAGGAAATCAACACTCGATATTCATTGGAAGGGCTGATGCTAAAGCTCCAGTACTTTGCCTACCCCATATGAAGAGCCGGCTCATTGCAAAAGACCTTGATGCTGGGAAAGATTGAAGGCAGGAGAAGGGGACGACAGAGGATGAGATGGTTGGATGGCATCACTGATTCAATGGACATGAGTTTGAGCAAACTGGGAGATGGTGAAGGACAGGGAAGCCTGGCATGCTGCAGTCCATGGGTTTGCAAAGAGTTGGACACCACTGAACGACGACAGCAGGATGCACAGGGGTACAGAGGCTTTGAACGAGGCACAGAGAGATTCAAGGAGGCTGCCGAAAGCATAGAGTCGGCCAGATCTGGGCTAGGGGTCAGTGAGGAGTGCCAGTTCTTCCCAGGAGTTAGACCAGCGAAGATGCTGTCAGTGAGGAATGTGGTGGAGCTGGAGTGGATGCAGAGGGGTGTGCCTGCTGATGCCTGGAGCGCTGAGAACTAAGCTCCCCTCCTCCTGGTTCCCCAGGCAGCCAAGGGAAGGCCTGGACCGACACTCCTTTCTTCACTTGCTACAGTGTAGTGTTTATCTGATAGAGTCCTAAGTGAGAGTGAAGTGAGAGTTCTGACACTGATGTAATGCCAGTATTTTCAGAATCCTCTTAAATCTCATTAGTGGTCATTCTGAAATTCCAACCATAATTGAAAGGATATCCAGTAGCTTTGTGGTTCTTCACAGGGGTCTGAGTGTTTTTCACACTTTGCGTTAGGTCAGAGGTTTAAATACACCATACAAGTGATTCAGAGAAATAATGCAAGAATTTATTGTTCTCATGGAAAGCTGTTAACAGTGTTGTTCAAAGTAATGGACTTGTTGGGAATTCCCTGGTGGCCTGGTGGTTGGGATCCTGGATTTTCATGGCCACGGCCCGGGTGCAATTCCTGGTGGGAAACTGAGATCCTGTAAGCTGCATGGCAAAAAGAAACCCACCAAAAACCCAGTGAAGCAGTAAACTTATAAGACAGTTACTTCGCTCTCCCTTATTTTGATGATATTGTCTACAACATTTAATGAGCATTTGTTTTCTCTCAGAATGAGGCATTGTGTTAGGCAAAGGTGGTCCTTGATCTCAGGTAGCCAGAGTTAAACATAAAACAGCTATACTGAAAGGCAGAGGGAAACCGCTGAACTGAGAGGGATGTCAGACTAAGGTCATCAAAGGTGACCGCACAGAAGGGGCCCTTGACTAAGACTGTGATAGAAAAGCCCTGGAAGGACATTCCAGGGAGAAGACAAATCTTTTACAAAGACACCGAGGCACAGAAGCACGTGACCAGGGTGGGAAATGGAATGTAGTGCTGGACCGGAACATTGTAATGTTTGGAATGAAGTTGGATGAGATGAGACCACAAAAATCGTTTCAGGTAAAATCATTGAGGAATCCTTTGTATTTTATAAGAATAGTGAGATTTAAGGTCAACTTACTTAAACTGAATTTTTAAAGAGTGTAAGTTGGGGTGATACTTGCTGCTGTTTTAAAAGATGCTGTATCTTTTCTAGGCCTGAATGTGTGTGTGTTGGTGGGAGGGGGAGTAATGAGTGACCTCAGAGCTGTTCAAACAATGTCAGTTAATATTTGAAGAAAAGCTTCTATGGGGAAAAAATTTTTAGAAAACTACTCTGAGTTTTAAACCATTCATTCAGTTCATTTTTCATGAAAAAAAAAAAAAAAAAACGGATCTTGTAGGTGATCAGTGGCAGAACCAAGAATAGAACTAACACCTGGATTGCTAGTCAACATTAGTTTCAGTGAAGTTAGAATGGTTTTGTTTATGATGTTGATACAGTGGTTGAAAGTGTCAATAAAATGTGATTAAGGAGAAAACTTCTAGAGAACGGATCTTGGGAGACACAAAACGCAATTGTTTTGTTTTTCTGGATTAGTAGAGTTAAGACATATTTGATTGTGCTTTTTCAAGAATTTGCATTTTATTCACAAACCGAGGCCCTATTCTCCTCTTCAAAACTGTATCATGCTACTTCAGCGTTCTACTGGAGGTTCTATTCCAGGGTGGTTAGGCAAGCAAAAAGAATACGTAGGCAAGGGATTTAAATAGATGTTTCCTTGGAAAAGACATACAGATTGGCCATCTAGGTTCATGAAAGATGCTCAGCATCATTAGTTATTAGGGAAATAGGAGTCAAATCTACAATGAGGTGCTGCTGCCCATCCACTCGGATGGCTGTGATTGAAAAGACTGACAATAGCAAGTGTGTATGAGCCCTTTTATATAAGGGACTTGAGCATCTACAGACTTCCGTGTATGCAGGGGAGACTTAGAACCAGTGCCCTGCAGAAACCAAGGGACAACGGTATTGTATTGGCCAAGTTAGGGAAAAATTGGAACCCTCACATGTGTTGGTAGAAATATGAAATAGTGCAGTCACTTCAGAAACCAGTTCCTCAAAAAGTTAAATACAGAGCCACCATATAACCTGGCAGTTCTCCTCTTAGCTGTGTACGAAGACAGTTGAACATTATATGTTCATATAAAAATGGGTGTAAATGCTCGTTAGCAATATTAGCAGCATTATTCATAAGTTAGAAAGTGAAAAGTCACCGAAAACATCATCGACTGAATGGATCCCAGAAGTGAATGGGGAACGGAATGGGGAGTGTCTTGTTGGTGCGCCTGTGCTGGGAACCTGCTCAGCAGTGCTGGGGACTGTCGCTGCTGCTCCCTGCAGTGGCCTAGCTGGAGGAGGACACTGGAAGTTGGGAGAAAACCCCCCTTCTCCTCACTGTACCTCCAGCTTCCCCATTGACAAAGCTTAGCATCTTCCCAGCTAGAGAAGAGCAGCATTTAAAGGGCCTGTCTCCATCTTCACAGAGCAGCCAATCATGGGTGAGTTTTCATTAGGATGCAATCAGTTAGAGTATCAACCCCTATACCAATGTAGAATATGTTGTTTTGTTGGGCTTCAAGGAAGTATTCATCTCACAATACCTAAACAAAGTTTTGGAGTATATATGCCTTTAATACTTTGAGAATTTTGTTTTAAATCACTACAAAAAGCAGTTCATGGTCACTAAAAATCATTGAAAAATAAAGGAATGTTTAGAATATAAAAATTCCTTTCCCTTTTATTCCTCCTCTATTTCATTCATGTCTCCTGTGGTGTGTATTATTTTATATATATACTTATGTAATATGTGTGTGTATGTATATATATATTTTCATAATAATGAGGTTTTGTACATAGATAACATGTATCAGCTCTTGTAGATTTTTGTTAGGAGGATATAATTCTCACTCAGTTGCTAAGCCCTTGTTTGTGTAAACTAGATGAGTCACATAATTGTTCTTTGATTTTCTAAACTATAGAAATGAAGGGACTTTTATTCAGGGAAGTTTAACATTTGTAATGGATATAGCTTGAGAGAAAGGTAGTTGGCAACCATCAGTCAGCAATTTTTAGTATAACTAGATGGTCATATTTTTTTGTTTTGCAATTTAAATCTTGTGTTAAATGACTTACACATGTTTATGTGTATGCTGCTGGCTCCATGTACTATTTAAATTTCAATGAAGTCTGAATCATAGACTTTTGTTGTTGTTGTTTTTCTTTAGAAAAATCCTGCAAAAATGTCTCTGTACCCATCTCTTGAAGACCTGAAGGTAGACAAGGTGATTCAGGTATGTTTTAAATACTTTTTTTCTTCCATGTTCTCTGCCATACATTCTGATTATAGGTGAAGTGAAGCGAGAAACTTAAATAGCAGATGTATTTGTTCAATTTTACACTGTATAAACTCAGTTTTTCAAACGAGAACGTTAGAAAACTAGAGATTTCTTCATTTCACTGTGATTTAATGGGCACGAGATATTTTTTCTTTGAAATGGGACTTAAAACTCTTCAGAAATAGCTTGGTTTTATGACTGGGTTTAATTTAAGTACATTTTTTAAGTTGGTAATATATACTCCAAATTCTTAGGTGTTCATTGTCTTGTTTAAAATTTGTACGTGTGCTGTTGGGTTTTCAGGGATGACCAGTCTTTGAAGTAATTCTTTGTCTTCTACGAAGTTAAACATTATCAAAACAGGATGGTACATACTGCTTTAGGAGGAGGAGTAGTGTAAGGAGCACAGTGAAAGCTGAGCAATGTGTGGTCTTTTAAAAGTAAGCAGCAGACAGTCTGCTACAGCAACAGAGAATCTTGCTCCAAGTGGCTGTGTAAGACAGTACAGTGATTCTAACACTTTCATTAAGTCAGGCATTATTGTACTCCTTTGAGTATTAGCTTTGAAGATAATTGCTTCTGCTTGAGAAAGTTTGGGATTGGGATCAAGTCTTGCTGTTTTGTAAATTTTTGTTACTCTTTTTTGTTGTTGTTGTTACTCTTTAACTGGACATAATTGTAGTGTTTAGTGAACCATCCTGTTTCCAGTTTACTTTCAACTTGGTCTTTCATAAACTTTTTATTTCTGAACTTCTTCAGCTGTTATTTGTTTTTCTAATTTGACAAGATAAATTAAACTCCGTTACAGTTTATTCTAGAAATCTGTTTGATATGATAAATGTGATGAAATACTTTTCTGTTTGAGTTGCTAAAGTACTTCAAAGCTTCTTACCCTAAAAATCATTTTGCTAGAGGTCTTGGCCTCAGTTTACTCTAAATGAGATTGACTTCCTAATTAATTAGCATAAAATGTTTATTACAAACTTGTGAGAAGAACACAAGAATACAAGTGTTTTTTAGAGAAAATGTTCTTTAAGGGTAGGGAAAAATCAGCAAAAATAGTAACAAATGTGTGGCTGAAATTGTTAGCCTTGTGGTGGTGATTGGATGAATGTAGGGGAGATCATGAACATATATATCTCATCATCCCTTCTCTATGGGTATTGATGGGTGGTTTGTAGAATCTCTGAAATCTGTTCAGTTGCCAAGGCTTTGATGCCTGACAGTTTTAAGTGGTTTATTCAGTCATCTCAAATCTGTTTTTTCTTTGCTATTTTGTCATTATTTTTCTCATGTGGTTTTTATTTCCACACAGGTCATCTGAACAAGTATACTTTCTATTTTAAAAAGCTTTTATTTGAAATATTTACCTTTAACAGTTAAGCCGTTACTGTGACATCAGAGCACTAAGTGATAGGATCTGCAGATGGGTCTGAGAGAATGACTCATTCCTTTTTGTCCTTTTGTGTTAGTTTTTATGAAATTGAACCTAAACCACCGTAGACTTTGAGTAGAGGTTTTTTATCTTGAAAGCAGCAGAAAAAGAAGGAAAGAGTTGATATTGGCAAATGTTGGATCAGAAAATGAAGAAGACTGCAGTCCACCTCAGGCTGAGCTCTTCAAGGTTGTATGGATATTTCCATTTCAAAGCCTTTTACGTTCTGAGCACAAAGCTAGCTGCCTGGAGATGTGACAGAGAGTAAGGAGGGGGAAACATGGTTTTTAAATTCTGACTGGATTTAAAAAGATTCCCAACCTTGCCACAAACATCTTGGACTGTTGCTGTTTTATTTTGTCATCATTTTCTGTAGTAGGTGTTACTTGGGTGTTCATTTTTGAGGCACCTCTGTAAAGGTAGTATTCATTTTCTAATCTGACCTTTCACACCACAGGAGGGACTTGGCAATTCACATTCTGTCAACTGTTTCACAGTAAGCATAGGGCTGTGGCTCTGAGCATCGTACAGTCCCTGCGCCTCTCTGTCCACTGTGAGTCTCAAACAGGAGCCACCCCTGTGCACAGTAGACTGAGAAACAGTGTCCCGTCACCGTGAGCAGAGATCGACTGGTGGCTCCACGAGTATGGTGTCTCATGCTTTCTGTAATGGTAGAAACAACACCCCCCCTCTTTTCTTTAACTAGTTTGAGATTTCAAGTGAGTGTGGAATATTTTGCTGCATTTAATGGCTTATAGTCCTTAAGCCTTTGTTGTATCATCTTTCTTTTATTTTTATTACAAATTATATAGTAATTAAATATGTAACTTTGTGTTCAGAGAGCTTACTTCAGTATTCCTTGGATAAGAACAAGAGCAATGAATGAAAGAGTAGAAATAATAGACCAGTGTAAAAAGGATCAGTTTTTTAAAGTTAGTAAGTTCTGTGTTTCAGAGCGGTTTTAGGTTTACAGCAGAAGTGATGCAAGGTTCATTTTCCATCTCAGTGCCCCGTCCCTCTGCGCCCTCCCCACCTTGACCTGCATGCACCCCACGCCTCTCGCCCTACACCAGCAGCGTCTTCGCCAGAGCGGTACACTTGTGACAGTCACTGACCTGCCCAGACACGTGGCTGCCTCCCCAAGTCCACAGCTGCACTTGTGTCCCCTCTGTGGGTTTGCACGAGTGTGTGGTGATATGGAGCCCCCGCTCAGTGTCACGCTCACTCCCGCATAGTCCTCATGCTTTGTCCAGGCCTCCCTCCTTCTCTAGAATGTGAGGGTTGGATTCATAATTTGCCTTTTCAGATTGGCTTCACTCTCTTAGTAATGTGCATTTTAGGTTCCTCCATGTGTTTTCATGACTTTGATAGCTCCTTTCTTTTTAGTGAGGAACAGTATTTTTTTTCTTGGAGTTTATACAAGAAGCAATCCACTGGCTACTAGCTCCTTTTAGTTGATAGTTGGTGAGAGAATTTTCAAAATTCAGCATATTTTAAGGTTGTGGATATATTTAAAATTATAAAGATTTGTGTGCTGCATTTTATTTGAATTTAGATTGTGACATTATGAAACAGTAACAAAGAATGACTCAATAACAGTCATATCAGAACATTTGGAATCCAAATGAGTGATGTACTTGCATTGCTTTTGTGGACTTCCTTATTTAATTAATCTTCCGTCTCTCCAGGCATCTTTGGGACTGCTCTTAGCATCAGTTTCAGAGCTTGGTGATAGAGTATAGGTGTAAATCCCCGTCACTTAACCAGTATATTTTTGATTAAGTGAAAAATAATACTACATCTGGATCTTACAACTTAACTGCCAGCAGTGATATATGTCTGCTTGAGGAGCTCAGATATATCTGTAAGGGAAAAAGGAACACTCCATATGACATGGGCTGTGAAGGCAGCCCTGAGGGGAACTCCTAGCTTACCTGCCCCTGATTAGTATTAAGTGTATATGTTTTCAAAGTTTTGGCAATTTTAACACATAAACTACATTACTTTACCATGATTGTTATGTCAGTGATTAAGTATGCATTTTGCATACTTTGTAATATTTTTCTACTTAGTATAACATAACACCCTCCTCCAACAACACAAGAGAAGACTCTACACATGGACAACCCCAGATGGTCAACTGAAATCAGATTGATTATATTCTTTGCAGCCAAAGATGGAGAAGCTCTATTACAGTCAGCAGAAACAAGACCGTGAGCTGACTGTGGCTCAGATCATGAACTCCTTATTGCCAAATTCAGAGTCAAATTGAAGAAAGTAGGGAAAACCGTGAGACCATTCAGGTATGACCTAAATCAAATCCCTTATGATCATACAGTGGAAGTGACAAATAGATTCAAGGGATTAGATCTGATAGAGTGCCTGAAGAACTGTGGACGGAGGTTCGTTACATTGTACAGGAAGCAGTGATCAAGAACATCCCCAAGAAAAAAAGTGCAAAAAGGTAAGATGGTTGTCTGAGGAGGCGTTACAAATAGCTGAGAAAAGAAGAGAAGCTAAAGGCACAGGAGAAAAGGAATGATACACCCATTGGAATGCAGAGCTCCAAAGAATAGCACTGAGAGATAAGAAAGCCTTCCTCAGTGATCAATGCAAAGAAATAGAGGAAAACAACAGAATGGGAAAGGCTAGAGATCTCTTGAAGAAAATTACAGATACCAAGGGAACATTTCATGCAAAGATGGGCACAGTAAATGACAGAAATGGTATGGACCTAACAGAAGCCTTTGTATTAAGAAGAGGTGGCAAGAATACACAGAAGAACTACAAAAAAGATCTCCATGACCCAGATAACAATGATGGCATGATCACTCACTTAGAGCCAGATATCCTGGAATGCAAAGTCAAGTGAGCCTTAGGAAGCATCGTTATGAACAAAGCTAGTGGAAGTGATGGAATTCCAGGTGAGCTATTTCAAATCCTAAAAGATGATGCTGTGAAAGTACTGCACTCAATATGCCAGCAAATCTGGAAAATGCAGCAGTGGCAAAGGAAACTGGAAAAGGTCAGTTTTCATTCCAATCCCAAAGAAAGGCAATGCCAAAGAATGCTGAAACTACCACACATTTGCACTCATTTTACATGCTAGCAATGTAATGCTCAAAATTCTCCAAGCCAGGCTTCAACAGTAAGTGAATTGTGAACTTCCAGATGTTCAAGCTGGATTTAGAAAAGACAGGAACCAGGGATCAAATTTCCAACACCTGTTGGGTCATCGAATAAGCAAGAGAGTTCCAGAAAAACGTCTCCTTCTGCCTTATTGACTATGCCAAAACCTTTGACTGTGTGGATCACAACAAACTGTGGAACATTCTTAAAGAGATAGGAATACCAGACCACCTGACCTGCCTCCTGAGAAATCTCTATGCGAGTCAAGAAGCAACAGTTAGAAGTGGACATGGAATAAGAGACTGGTTCCAAATCAAGAAAGGAGTGCGGCAAAACTGTATATTGTCACCCTGCTTATTTAACTTACATGCAGAGTACATCATGAGAAATACTGGACTGGATGAAGCACAAGCTGGAATCAAGATTGCCGGGAGAAATATCAATAACCTCACACGTGCAAATGATACCACCCTTATGGCAGAAAGTGAAGAGGAACTAAAAAGCCCTTGATGAAAGTGAAAGAGGAGAGTGTGAAAGTTGGCTTAAACTCAACATTCAGAAAACTAAGATCATGGCACCTGGTCCCATCACTTCATGGCAAATAGATGGGGAAACAATGGAAACCGTGACAGATTTTATTTTGGGGGGGCTCCAAAATCACTGCAGATGGTGACTGTAGCCTTAAAATTAAAAGACACTTGCTCCTGGGAAGAAAAGCTATGACTAACTTATACAGCATATTAAAAAGCAGAGACATTACTTTGCCAACAAAAGTCCATCTAGTCAAAGCTATGGTTTTTCCAATAGTCATGTATGGATGTGAGAGCTGGAATATAAAGAGAGCTGAGTGCCAAAGAATTGATGCTTTTGAACTGTGGTGTTGGAGAAGACTCTTGAGAGTCCCTTGGACTGCAAGGAGACCAAACCAGTCCATCCTAAAGAAAATTAGTCCTGAATATTCATTGGAAGGACTGATGTTGAAGCTGAAACTCCAATACTTTGGCTACCTGATGCGAAGAACTGACTCATTGGAACAGACCCTGGTGCTAGGAAAGATTGAAGGCAGGAGGAAAAGGGGACGACAGAGGATGAGATGGTTGGATGGCATCACTGACTCTTTGGACATGAGTTTGAGTAAGCTCCTGGAGTTGGTGATGGACAGGGAAGCCTAGTGTGCTGCAGTCCATGGTGTTGCAAAGAGTTGGACACAACTGAGCGACTGAATTGACTGACTGAACACCTCCTTCCTTATACTTGGTAAAACGTAGATAAACATTTCATTGGGATAGGCTGAAATGGCAAAATAAATATTAGCAACTTAAGTATTTAAATTTTTAGGTGTTCTCCTGATGTATACTTACGTAAATATGGTTAAGCTTTTTTCTTTAGGTAAAGAAGCTACTTTCACTTAGACTAATTAAAGTATAACTATCATTTCATAATACATTGTGAAAGTATTTGCAGTAGCACTATGAAATATTGGTTATATGTAGAATGGTGCTTAATCTAGTTTTTTTCAATAGTGTTAAATATTTATAATATATTTTTGGTTTGTGGATTTTCTTTGAAAATATATTGCTAAAGTGTTTGAAATTAGAATTTCTTATATAAAAGTAAAGGGTTTTAGGTGTTTTCTTTTTTGAAATTACTGGATTTAAGTTATATGAGAAGTTTAAATAAGTCGCCATAGAGTGTTATTAGAATTTTCTTTTTTTCTTTTTCAGGCTCAGACTGCCTTTTCTGCAAACCCTGCCAACCCAGCGATTTTATCTGAAGCCTCTGCTCCCGTCTCGCAAGATGGAAGTAGGTTTTATTATTTGGGTTCCTTCTCCTTGAACAGAGATACTTGTTAAGCCTTCTTTTACTGAAATAGAGAATCCAGGATATCTATGTATATATTTTTTAACTTACACAGCATGAAATTGGCTGTTAAAGCTCTAGTAGTAAGAAGATAAAAATGTTTATTTCAAAACAACCCTTTAATCAAGAAAGTGAACTGTGACTATGAAAGTATGTTTTATGACTTAATGAAAATTGTTACTTAAATTTCACCCTTTGCAAGTCCTTCACTTAGGAGTGATTCATTTATGAAAAGAAGTTACTCACTGAACTGTCCTCTGTCTTTCCAGGGCTGTGAGGATTGATAGCGTTCTCCTTTGGGGGAACTTCCCAAATCCTGGAGTCTCTACCCTGACTCCATATCCTTCTCCCTGGTCCCTTTTCCTTCTAAATTCATAGGAATTCAGGACAGAACTCTTAAATAATATGACTTCAGATACAAAAGGTGTGGCAGTCTCGATGGGAGGGGAGTTGTGGGAGAGTGGATGCATGTATGTGTATGGCCAAGTCCCTTTGCTGTCCACCTGCAACTACTACAACATTGTTAATCAGCTCTACTCCGTGTAAAATGAAAAAAAATTTTTTACAGCATACAAGAGGAGTCTTAAATAGGTTTTTATGGCCTGTCATCTTATAACATTGTTTCCTTTAGAAAATCCATAAATCACATAAAGAGCTTTTGTAAATGGTATCTAACTCTACTGTTCAGTTAAGTACTGTTAATATTTAAATGTACTGTTTAAAAGATTTCATTACTGTGTATCCTTAAAGTGATATGACACTAAATAAATTTATAAGCTTTGATTTTTTTTTTCCACAGTTCATTTTTTTTAATAGAAGAATCATTTTATAGCTGTGTTTACTGAATGAATTAAAATGTAGCTGATTTGAAGTATACATTTTGGTCAGTTGTTCTTAAGTAGAGAATCAGTGGTATGGGTAGAAAATTCCTAATAGGTTTAAGAAGAAAAGGCAAGATAACTTGGAAAAATTATTTCTAGTCTTGAGTATTTAGAAGTCTGAGGTTTCAGTTAAAATGTCTTCATACTTTCACTTTTATTTTTGTTTTCCATTTCTAATTATCATTACAGAAAAAGGGGTTTTCCAGATTACTAATATAAATTCATCCTGGATTTTATAAAATAAATGTGATTTTTTAAATTTAAAAAAAATTTTTTTTAGTGATTTTTTAAAAAATACAAGTCCATAATAACAATGGTTATTTAAAATGTTCTAGTAATTTTTTCTCTCTACTCATTCATTATTAGATCTCTATCCTAAGCTATATCCGGAGCTCTCTCAGTACATGGGCCTGAGTTTAAATGAAGAAGAAATACGTGCAAATATGGCCTTGGTCCCTGGAGCACCAAGTCAGGGGGTATGTATAATTCATTCTGAATTATATAAAATCATACTTTACACAGATATAAGCTAACTCGTCTTTGTGGTGAACTCACAAATTTATAGCCTTAGCATTGATCTCTTTTTAGGATTGCCTTTTAGGTATTGCTTTTTACACAGTCTACTTCCTTCTGTGCTGTTACCACTTTCCTAATTTATTAGGAGTTAAAGATTCAGTTGCCTTTAACTGGTTCATTCTCTTTTGTCTTCTGCATTTAGTTATAGACCTAGTGATTCTGCTTCTGCCGTGTTTCTTATATTCATGTTATTCATTGTAGTCCTGCTATAGCCCGGTCCATGTGTTTCTACCTCTAACCTAGATTGTTACAGTTGTCTCTTTCTTCAGTAACTCCTCCACTAACTTATGTCAATGAATACTGAGCTACTGTTAACTTAATCATTCTCAAATTCAGGTCTGTTACCACTTTTTTCCTCATAATCTTTTTAAGTTTAAAGCTTCTTATAGTTTGACCCCAAATTCCTGGCTTAAATATAGTGTGTCTCAGTCTTTTGTTAAGATTATTTCTGTAAGACTATAATCCTTCATAGTACTTGTCGTAGGTAAATGCATAACTTCATGAAGACAGCCTTTATGTCTGTTGTTGGCCATGACCCGCATGCTTAATACAGTACCTGGCTTTCAATTTATTCACCAAATATTTATTGAAAACTTGCTTACATCAGTCAGGGTCCAGTTGGGACAACAGAAATCACACTAGATTTTTTAACAGAGATAGCAAGAAATTAAGAGAGGTTGAAGAATTGAAAAAAGCAAAAGTGGAACACAGAAAGTAGCTGCTTCTCCTGGGACGGGGGCACACAGGACAGGGGTTAGAGTTCTGAGCCGACTGTGTTGGCGGAAGAGCCTGTGAGCTGCTCCTCAGGGGAGGGGCCTGTGACGGGCACTGGTACCTCTGGGCGCTGCGGGGAGGCTGTGCTGGGAGTGTCTGGGGACTGGGGTCACCTGCTGGCAGCAGCATGAAGGGCTGGCCCCAGGCAGTACTGGCGGGAGCAGGAGGCAGAGGAAGGGGCGGGCACCCCCTCCCCGTGCGGGGTCCTGGCGAGAGAGCCGGTGACAGGAGAGGGCTCAGCACGCGGGGCCTGGGAGGGCAGCCAGTGTGCGACGCTCGCTGTCGCCCCTGCTTCAGCGTGTCCACAGGCGGCTTCTTCAGACAGCTGATGCTCAACAGATACTTTCTGGTAAGGGAACCATAGTAAGTACGTTCAGCTCTACTGGCCAGTGTGTGCAGAGACCTTGAAGGCTTTCAGGCAGAAATGAACTTGAGAGACCCGTGAGACAGACCTAGGTGATGGGCAGATGAGACAGAACATGGTAGCAAATGCACTGGGGGGTTGGCATTGGAAGGGCTGTCAGGCCAGGTAGTCTGCGGCCTTGTGGACAGGGTAAGGGGTTGGGGGTCTGAGTTGTGGGAATAATAGATATAATTGATTCGTTAAAAAAAGGGTCTCTGTGCTTGCTGTGTGGAGGACAAACAGAAGGGCAAGAGTAGACAGTGGTCATAGTTGCCCTTAGCAGGAGGGGGCAGTGGTCATGTGTTGGTCATATGGATCATAGTAAGAATACCGAGTAAGCACTTAACTGTACTTGCTGGAAAAAAATTCTTTTCCAAACGTAATACTCCAAAACTCCTCCTATTTGTCCTATATTCCAGCTAAACTCAATTCATTTGCCTAGTTTTTTTCTGTCCCATTGCCTGATTTCTATGATTTTATAGCTGTAATCATTGAATTTTTGTAATTCTTCAAAAGTTGTATTTTCTGGTATTGTGCTTGATTTGTAATATGGCTGTGTGTGTGTGTGTGTGTGTGTGGTGTCCTAGTGACTGAAATTCTGAATGGAGACATTCGCAGCCTGTGTTTGCGTGTGGCTGAGATTTTTCTTCCCCATCATGGCTGCTCTGAGCATCACAGGTGTCAGACCAGAGCTTTTCATGACAGGTTCCAGTTAAGATGCCTTGGTAACAAATATGCTCCTCCCTCACTGTCTTTGGTAGAGAAAAGGGTCCACTTAAAACAATAAACTGATTTTGGTCAAAAAAAAAAATAAGGAATGTGAGGCCTGGTACCTAACGGAGTCCCTAGTACAGCTATTCTCCTCCATACAGTTGGTTAATCCACAGATGTTTACTAAAGGGACGAAAAATAACACTTGCCTTGTGTGTGTCAGCACTTGAATAACAGGTACTTTTAGTCCTCATAGTGGAGCTGTGAGTCCAGAAGTTTGCCTCTTTAATAAAAACTCTGAAAGGGGTACATTGTTGAAGATCAGGCCATATAAAAGAACCCTCATGAAGATGCTGTATGAATTTCAAAAGTAAGGTACAGCCTTTATAAAGTTCAAGGATAATATATTTGAGTTGAAAACAAGCCAGGGTACACATAAAACAAATGCCAGGGAATTCATCGGGCAACAGAGAGTCATTGAGTCTGCTGGAGATGGTGTCTGGGGGGGGTGGTAAGTTACCTGCAGAATTAGTTTTAAAAAATGGTAATTTTTGCAAAACTCAGATCTGAAGGAAATAATGGGCAGATTACATTTTAGGAAACCACAACAGAGTATATTCACTGATCACTTTGGGTTTTCTTGGGGCGAATGTTTGCAAATACTGACATGTTGCCTGTGTCTGTCAGCAGTTGGTGGCTCGGCCTTCCAGCATGAACTACATGGTGGCCCCTGTCACTGGTGGCGACCCCGGGATCCGCAGAGCGGAGATTAAGCAAGGGATCCGAGAAGTCATCTTGTGTAAGGATCAAGACGGGAAGATTGGGCTCAGGCTGAAATCCATAGACAACGTGAGTGCTTTCAGTACTTGTCTGATTAGCTGTTAAGTGACCGCGTTATAATTTAAAATGTAAATACTTTAATGAATTGTAATGGTGCTCTCTTGATTGGGAATACTTTTAATCTGCTTTTCTATGTGAGATGCTACCCTGTTTTGAAGAGGCAGAGCTGGGACTTGAGCATTACCATGGATGAATTTTTTTTTAGTCTTTTTTCTGGAATAAAGTTCACTAGTCTGCATGTATTATAACATAGCTCATACAAGGAGAATGCTGGCATTGAAATGGGGTAACATGTGGAAGTTAAGACTGGTAAGTGAGGGTCAGTGGTCTTGTGTATTTTTAAACTAAAAGAGGATCATTGTAGTGTGGTTTTAGGTTTGTTATTTCCATCCTTAAATTTGACTTTCATGGGGCATTTTCTAGGCAACAGTGACTTTCTAAAATTACATTACTTTACCTCTCACCTTACCAGATGGAAGAAACGAAACCTGGTTACTCTGTGGGGAAGCATTAGGATTGCCAAGGAGGGGCTGAGTCTTTACCCTGATCTGTGGGTTTCCGAGTTCTTCATTGGGCTTCTTTTCAGTCTTCGGTCTCATTAGCGCAGCTCATCCAGCGTTTGCACTCGGAAGATGTGGCACCTGGCGGAAGATGTCTGAGGCCAGTCCCTGGCCCCGCCTGCCTCCCCAGAGGCTGAGGCCATTGTGTCCTTGCACACTTGTGGCTCGTGTGAGACCCATGAGTGTGCAGCTCTGGGAAGCTCGCACTTCACTGCCCTCTCTTCCTCCATCCTAGAGAGAGACCACACTCTCCCCAGCTCCACCCCTGCAGCAGTTGTCCTTGCAGTGGTTTGTCCAGTGGCCAAAGCTTGTGGGTGTGGCCACTCTGCTGGGTGCTGCCCTCAAGTACAAGATGCGCGGCCCCAAATCTGAGGCAGGTTAAGAAGGAGAAGGGGTGCAACCTGTGGTTGCTTGCATCTCTTATCTGGCGAGTGCCTTTTATACTTGGCTTATTTATAGTGTTCAGCATCTGAGATTGAGTTTACATGGGTAAAAATATTCCGTGGGTTTAGTTCTCAGTTAACTGTACTTGAGTTTTCTGTATTTACTCGTAGATTTTTAAGAACAGGGGTGGTATTCCGTGTGCCCACCTTTTTAGGCTGTTTAATAGTAGTGATTATGCATAATTTAGCAAGTGGCTAAAGGAATTCTTCAGCTCAAAAGGTAAAGTTCTGATCTTAACCTATTACTTTTTTTAAATGAAACTTCTAACACTTTACTGTCTTTCCCCCTAAATAATACCTGTTTGGTACTCTGTCAGACTCATGGAACCTTATATTTATTATAGTAATCTGACTTTATTTTCCTTAGTCTTTTTATTCCAAGGTGGAGGGGGTGATGGAAGTTGGTCAGGTGAGGTAGAAATTACCACTCAGATCTTAACTGTTGCCTTGATAGCATTTTCAGTTTCCTTCCTGGGGGTAATGAAACATACTCGTATAATTTTTGTTTAAAAAAAAAAATCACTAGAGTAGCTGCCTAAACAGTTGGTTCCTGATTTTCCAGCACTTACTTAGTGATTTCCGTCATCCAGGGTATATTTGTTCAGCTTGTCCAGGCCAATTCTCCCTCCTCCCTGGTGGGCCTGCGGTTTGGGGACCAGGTGCTGCAGATAAATGGTGAGAACTGTGCTGGCTGGAGCTCGGACCGCGCGCACAAGGTGCTCAAACAGGCTTTCGGAGAGAAGATCACCATGACCATCCGGGACAGGTGAGCTGACTAAACGCTACATGTGGACATTTAAACTAGTTTTCCATTTTCTTGGGGTTTTAAGATTCTGGCAGCATTGAAACACGTATATTATCTAGGGTGAAACAGTTCACCAGCCCAGGTTGGGTGCATGAGACAAGTGCTCGGGCCTGGTGCACTGGGAAGACCCAGAGGGATTGGGTGGAGAGGGAGGTGGGAGGGGGGACCGGGATGGGGAATACATGTAAAAAAAAAAAAAAAAAAAGATACACTATGGTTGTGATAAAATAAATAAATAAATAAATAAATAAATAAATAAATAAAGATTCTGGAAATACAGCATTTTGTTGCAGAAAAATAATCAAATGCTATTGATTAGCTCTATACTCTTGCAGTTCTGTGTTGCTTTCTTACATAGTTTGACTTTGCAAAACCAGAATATTGTTTTTAAATACACCTTATTTCAGAGCTTACAGAAATTTGTCCTCTGAGAAGTTCCTTCCCTGTCTTAATCCATTTCTCTGGAAAACAGAAGAGGTTAGAAAGGTAATAGCAACAGGTGTCTGGACCTTGCCCCCGGTTTCCTGCTCTGGGTGGATACATGGGGGCCTGCCGGTTCCCAAGCTCAGCCTGGCCTTCTGGGTGGGTGAGGCTCTAGTCCTCGGCGGGTACGTCATCTTCAGCTCGTTTATAATGGAACAGTCAGTACCTGTACTACGGACACCACCACCTTCTCGGCCACGCAGGGGTTGAGGGGCAGACCCTGTAACACATTTTTAGCTTTGGCATTTTTGTTCATCTTGGTTCACCTGGCTTTTATCTACCTTTGTGTTTTCACTTTGAACAATACATGGTAGGTATTGAGTAAACATTTTGCTCTTATCTGAGTAAAGTTTCAAAATGTAACTTGGATCACCAGGAAGACGTGACTACTGTGAGCTTTTTTCATGTGAAATTTGTATTTTGCATGAAACATGTGCAGTAACAGGGTGTCAGTGCTGAGAGCAGCTGCCATCTTTTTGAAGCTCCTCCCTTTCTAAGGGCCTGGGAGCTTCCATCTTACTGTTGCTGCAGCAGAAATAGCTTTGCAGTTTTCAAAATCAAGATGTGAGAAGTATTGTAAAGGTTCTAAGCATTTCCTAAGAAAAATTAAGCTCCAGGAAATACTAAAAAGTTAATTCATTTTTAACACTGATTTTTGTTAAAAGACAATGTTAATTTAAAGGAAAAAGCACATGATAAACTGCATAAAGCATTGTGTTAATTCTTTGCTACTTGAAAGAAGGAAATCTTGATTAGTTAGTCCAGCCATAATGGATAGAATTTTTTAACTTTTACACAAGATGTACATACCAACTCAAATAGTTTTGAAATAATTTATGGTAACAGTATCCAGTAGAGCATAATGGAAATCCACTGAAATGTTTACCTTGGAATTACAATTTTAATTGAAACTGTTACGCTCACAGGCCCTTTGAACGGACAATTACCATGCATAAGGACAGTACTGGACACGTCGGCTTTGTTTTTAAAAATGGAAAAATCACATCCATTGTGAAAGACAGTTCTGCAGCTAGAAACGGTCTTCTCACGGAACATAACATCTGTGAGGTCAATGGACAGAACGTCATCGGACTGAAGGTCAGAGCAGAATCTACATCATGTTGTTTAGTTTTAGAAGTCTCTTTTTCATTTGCCTGTCTGGGTGGTGCTGTTATTGACCAAAATGGAGACATTCTTTTGGGTGCTGGCTGTGCACTCATGTTACCTCTGGAATTGTGGCCTCTGTGCCGGGGGTCAGGGTAAGATCTCTGAAGCCCCTTGAACTAGAATTCTGTGGAGACCTGGGCAGCAAAGGTGTTGATGAGATTCTGAATGAATGGTTGCTGTTTTTTCCAATTGCTTTTTTCAGTCCAGGGGTTGTAGGAAATAAATAATAGTTTATGGTCAAATTAGTACTTCATTTTTATGGTTTATGCCTTCTACAAATTCCTAAATAGAACTATTTTGAGGTTTAAAGGTTTTCATTAAGAATTAATGTTAGCAGAGAGGATGTGGTAATATTGTATATGGGGACAATTATTTAATCTCTGGAAAAAGAATGCTACGTTGGCTAATATATTCAGTGTAGTTTACTTAATTTTGTTACCACTGATGAAGTTGTGATTCTAATGAAAACTTGGTAAAGAAACTGGAAAAAATTTAAATACCAGGAGTCAGGATTTTAGAGACATTAGCAAAACCTCAGAACATATATATTTCTTTACCAAGAATAACTTAGTTTTAAATTTAATAAAGCCTCTCAGAATTTTCATTGTTTTCAACAGGACTCTCAAATCGCAGACATATTGTCCACAGCTGGAAATATAATTACTATTACAATCATGCCTGCTTTTATCTTTGAACACATTATTAAACGGTAAGTAGATAATTCTTTGACTTGATTCTGTGTTCATATGATTTCATTAGAGGCTCTGTACTTCTTTAATTCTCAAGCTTCTCAAACCTTTGGTTCTTTAGTAGATAACATTGGCATTATTTAGAAATTTGAAGTATTTAAATTATTTACATTTTGGAAGTCCTCGGGACTGAGGGCTGGAAGCTGAGAGAGAATAAAACAGGGGTGACTGGGGCTGTCTGCCCGGGAGCATCTTATGTTCTGTCCTGGCTCAGCCAGCACAGTCCTTTCAGTATCTACCTTGAATGTGGAAATGATATTTAAAACATTAAAAAATGTAACTACTGTAATGGAATTTTTGTTTACCCAGAAGCTGGAATAGAATGCAGCTAGCTCCTTCTGGGGGTTGTTGGGGGGAGAATTGTCAGGACTAATCCTTCAAGAGGTCACTTGTCTTAAATCAGTGATAGCCTCCCCACCCACCCCAGAAAAACCACACACATTTCCCTCTAGTTCATAGCATTGTCTTTTTTAACCATTCACCCTTAACATACAAGTATTCAAGGACTTAACCTGTATCTTACTGGCCAGGATAGATAGCTTATTTGCAGTCCGCTAGATTACCTGAGACCCTTAGAGCTGAACTCATTAAAAAACCTGCCCCATTCCCACTTGATGCTAACAGTCCTGAGTTTGAATTAGAGTTTTCTTGAATCATTGTAGCAGTTTTGAAAAAAGAAACCCAACCCTCAGTATCTAATAAAAGTAACTGTCTTGTAGGATGGCGCCAAGCATTATGAAAAGCTTGATGGATCACACCATTCCTGAGGTTTAGAAGTCACGGCACACTGGAAACTTGCCGGAAGTTCTCCCGTTTACGTCTTGGGCAACTGACCTTTCTATTATGCACATGAAGCTTTCTAGGAGCCAGCGAGCATATGCTGCATGAGGACTTCCTGTCTTACAGTAGGGCTGGGAATCTTACTGTTCGATCCAGTATATCTTGTTCAGACATCAAGATAGTTGTAGCCTTACCCTGGTTTTACAGTTGAAAAGACTTTCACAGACTAGTTTCTTTTCTGGAAACCTGATGCTTTTACAAGCCTTGTGAGTAGGATGACTGCTACAGGCTCAGCTCTGTTAGAACCATCACCTTCACCTTGATATCGAGCAGTGCTTTAGTTCTGTGCTGTATTTGCATTTTTACTGTGTCACCATAGTGCATTTAGAATTACTTTTCTTCAGTTCTGTGTGTAACACCAGCTTAGTAACACTGGTTTCATTCCATGTAAGCATTATTAGACAGTGTGTGTAGCTGCAAGAGACTTATCGATTGTCATTACATTTTATCTACCTTCACTTAATACGCTTGAACTGTCGCCTTAACTAAGTTAAGCATCTAGAATAAAAGCCAAAATATAACGATTGCTGCCTTTCTAAACCCAGACGCAGTTCTGCATTCACCTGAGATGTACACTAGCCCCGTGCTGTCTGACAGTACATCCTGAGCTAGCACAGCTGCTGACTTGCATTTGAGATTTTCTAGTCCGTCCTTGTGTAGTGGGAACTTCTTTCTTCTAAAAGTAACTGATAATCACTTTTTGAGAAATGAAGCTCTATATATTTAATGTAAAAATTCTTGTACTAAATAGAATGAACCTTGACTCCTTTCATGTGTGGATTAAGTGGGCTAAGGCCTGATTGTGGCATTTACACAGTATGTAACCTCGCTGCCCTGCGACAGTCTCAGGACACTGTCCTGGTCTTGTGTTCCATTTCCTGCCTCCTCCCTGCTCACAGAATGACATGTTATCCTGATTTTTTTCTCTCTCTTTGGCTTATGCCTACTCTATTTTAATTAAAAATGTATAAATAAAGTTAAGTTCTAGTCTGTCTGTTATTGCATCATTTGAAAATGTCAGGCTTGTAGGAGAGTCCTCTCCCAGAGTGGCCAGCACCCAAGAGCCTGGACAAGCCCTCTGTGCAGAGAGGCCCTGAGTGCCCAGAGAAGTACCTTCAGCCTGGAAGCCCAGACACACTGGAGGCCGAGCAGCAGGGCCTCAACGAGCCTACTGATTCTCCTGGCAACACCCAAGCCATGTTTAACGTTCAGGATACACCAGTGGTTTTTAAATAACAGAAAAATCTTACCTCACATGTATTCTGTGGTTCAGAGGTTGAGTACAAAATAATCAGTGCTACTGGTTCATGGCTTACCTTGTGTAGAATTCAGAAAAGCCAACCAACTCAGGTTTTTCAGTGATGTTCCTCCTCGTTATCTGTCTGGACTTGGCTCTGAAGATAGTTTCAGAAGTACACGGTTGCACAGTACTAAGGATGGTTTTCTAGAAGGATCAACATTTGAAGTACCTAGTACTTTGTGCTAAGTCATTTAAATAAGAAAAAGAATTTCATTACAGAAAAATATTTTTAATGTCATAGAAAAGATGAGCATTTAACAGCCATAATGAAATAAACCGTTCCTATACACAGTAAACTGTTATAAGAACTGCTAATCCTTGCCCAGGTTCTCAGAATCTGGGGCCAGCAGGTTATAGAAAGTGACCACTCCATGAAAACACACATCCCCAGTCCAGCGGGCATGCCGCAAGTGTGTCGATTAAATAGAGTGACTTGACAACAGTGGAGAATACTCAGGTTTTCTTGTGAAGTCCTTCAACTGTTCAGTGCTTTCGGGAGGTTAGCTGGTTTAGTTATCTTTCAGCTGCTCTCTCTCACCCAGACTCGCCTTCTGATCGTCAGCATCCTGGGACAACCGCCTGCCTCACAGATGTTCCCTCCCCAAATCTCCCACGTCTTCGTCCGCCTTAGAGGATGACAACTAACAGCTTTCAATGAAGTCACCATGATTTATAAAGTCTAAAACCACAAATTTCTCATGTGGTGAAACTTGTAATTACTATAATTGCACATTTACCAATTCGTTTAAAAGTTTGGTTTAAAAGTACGTTTAAATAGAGTTCAAAAACATTCGAGGAAAAGGCACTTAATACTGCAACTTCCAGAACATAATTTGTCTGTCTTCCCCTCCTGTGATGACACTGCTACACTGTTCGTTCATCCACATACATGTCACGGCACCTGTGAGGAGAGACACAGGGTGAGGGGTGAGCACCACATCATCTTGTCCTATGTAACAATCTTTGCCTGAGCTCAAGTGCTTAGAACAAGGAACTTGGGAAGACTAGGAAACCATGTAGATGTAAAGCTACAGCTAAAACAACTGGGAATCACAGATGTGTGACAATACAAATATTACAGCTACAACAAGTTAGGAATCAGATGAGGGACAAGTGGGGAACTGGTGTGGGTGCTGATTTCCATTTCTATCAGGAGTCAAAATGTTACTTAATGCTCGTGAGTGGAGGAAGGCAGGCACAGACCTCACTTGAATATACAATGTTGAGAAGAAATAACCACACACAACAGTGACAGTGGGAAGAGGAAGAAGGTGGGCTGTCAATAGTTAATTGTAACCATTGGCACAAGAATTAACTCTCCTCCAAATGCTCAAAGGGAAAACGTGCAAACGTAAGAAAACTAAGAAACCAACGGGCAGAAGGACATAGACATACACAACACATCCTTGGATAATAGATACACCAGGTCACCAGCTGGAGAAGTCCTTCAAGGAGGGGACCTGGGAGGTGGAAGTCAGTGGGAGCAAGACTGTGTTTTCTGTAATTTATTATTATTATTTTTTTTTTCATTTATTTTTATTAGTTGGAGTCTAATTACTTTACATCATTGCAGTGGTTTTTGTCATACATTGAAATGAATTAGCCATGGATTTACATGTATTCCCCATCCCGGTCCCCCCTCCCACCTCCCTCTCCACCTGATCCCTCTGGGTCTTCCCAGTGCACCAGGCCCGAGCACTTGTCTCATGCACCCAACCTGGGCTGGTGATCTGTTTCACCCTAGATAATATACGTGTTTTGATGCTGTTCTCTTGAAACATCCCACCCTCGCCTTCTCCCAGAGTCCACAAGTCTGTTCTATACATCGGAGTCTCTTTTTCTGTTTTGCATATAGGGTTATCATTACCATCTTTCTAAATTCCATATATATGTGTTAGTATACTGTAATGGTCTTTATCTTTCTGGCTTACTTCGCTCTGTATAATGGGCTCCAGTTTCATCCATCTCATTAGAACTGATTCAAATGAATTCTTTTTAATGGCTGAGTAATATTCCATGGTGTATATGTACCACAGCTTCCTCATCCATTGGTCTGCTGATGGGCATCTAGGTTGCTTCCATGTATTATTATTTTTTTTATGACAAGGCCTGTAGGATCTTAGTTCCTGGACCAGGGATTGAACCTGTGCCCCATGTGGCAAAAGCACTGAGCCCTAACCACTGGACACCAGGGAAGTTGCCTGTTTTTTAAAAACTTATTTGGGTCTTAGTTGCAGCATGTGGGATCTAATCCCCTGACCAGGAATCGAGCCTGGGTCCCCTGCACTGGGAACACAGACTTAGCCACTGAACCACCAAGAAAGTTACTTTCATATATATATATATATATATATATAAAACAATAAAAACTCTATGCATGTGTTAAAGAAATCTACACCTTTTACTTTTTTTTCTATTTAGAAGTTAATGTAAAAACTTTCCATTTTGGAGTCAAATGTCTGCCAACATAGATCTAAATCCTGAAAGAACAAATAGATTCAGGTGGCCAGTCTGGCCAGGATCTGGAGGGGAACGTTCACAGCACAGAGGCCCCAGGGGCTTGTGCCTGAGAAGAGCGTGCCCACTGGTGGGAAAGGAGGTGCTGGAGCACGTAGGGAGAAGAGGCAGGTCAGCAGCAGACATGGTAATTACCCGTGTGGCCCTGGATCCTCTTGCTGACCCTTCCCCCGAGGAGGTCCCAGACGAGCAGCTCCCCAGACTGACTCCCGGATACGACGGAGTTTCCATCCCAGAGAAAGCACCTGCAAGAAGGATTTGGAAGTCATCCCTCGTCAGGAAGGAAGGAAGGGCTAGAGCAGGCCCAGTGTGGTGACTGCGAGCCTGTCTGTAAACGTCTTAATCGGGAGTAACCCGGGAGTACCTCTGGGGCTCGCCCGCAGTCAGAGAAGAGATGAGCATTCCGGTCTGCACGTCGATGACATTCAGATGGCTGTCGGCTCCTGTGCTCAGGATGTGGCGACTGTCTGCAACGCGGGGCGGGACAGGGTGCAGGTTACGGCTTTAAATCATCTGAGATTTCATTTCTGAGTCCAGGAGCCCAATGTTCACGTGAGCCATTGGTTGTATTAACCAGTGAGGACTATCCTCTCTGTGAAAGGCTTCTGTTTTTAAGGCACTGGGCTGATGACCCTTTGGTGTAAATTCATAAATTAATTTCTCCAGTGACTTGAGCAATTAAGAAAAAAATCCGATACAGCTTCTCTAATAGGTACACGTGCCATATGCACCGTGTTCTCCCACAAAGCAGCATTAACCCACAGGCAAAACCCCTTTTATCAGCAAATAGCATTTTTGTCATTTAGTTGCTCAGTCATGTCTAACTATTTGTGACCCCATGGACTGTAGCCCACCAGGCTTCTCCGCCCATGGGATTGTCCAGGCAAGAATACTGGAGTGGGTGGCCATTTCCTTCTCCAGGGGAATCTTCCTGACCCAGAGATCAAACCTGCATCTCCTGCATTGGCAGGCTGATTCTTTACTACTGAGCATCCTGGAAAACTGTTTTTACATTCTTATTTATTTCAAAATAATAATTCCAGTTCCCCTGGTATCATCTGTATTAAAAAAGGATGCTACCTGGGCTGAAAGCAGTGTCGCCTACAGTCCCCTCATGACATGGAATCTGGTGTAACAGGGTGGCCGTGGTGAGGTCCCAGATGTTCACTGTGCCTTCCTTGGTGCCTGAGGCCAGCAGTGTGCCGGCAGTGTTCAAACTGATCGTGTCCACCTGGAGAAAGCAGCACATGCAGTATTCCATCAGAACCACGGTCATGAAGCTGTTTCTCAGCCCATTCTTTCAGCACCACCTGTTGAGCGATGGTTCATTTACAAGTGAAATCTTCATAGGCCAGTGACTACAATGAAGTGTTACCGGAAAATGCTGTTTTGACAGAGCCTAAAATTGACGGACTCAGAATAGTGACTCCATGCGTGAAAGTGGCAGGGCATGCCAGGCTGCCTGAAGAACAGGGGCTCCGTGAGGATGTGGGGGGTTTGGGGGAACTGGGGGATCTCAAGGTGGGCTACACTACATCCTGTATAAATATTCCTCAACCTTGGTTATTCTGCTGACCGTGAAGATCAGGCCACAGTTCACAGCCTAGAGGGAAGACAATGCCACGGGCCACAGCGCCAGATGCAGCCGTGACCTCGAGGGGACAGACTGAGCGAAGAGTACGTGGTGCCAGCTGAGTTCTGCCCCCGCTGCGAGCACCGGGCCGTGTAGACATGTCGGTGTCCTCACCCTAGACAGAGAGCCCCTTCCACCTAAGGTGTCAGAAAGCACATCCAGTGCCCAAATAGTTTGAAGGTACCCAGATATTCAATGTCATGCTCGGAAACTGGCCTTGTGGAAATGTGGCTGGAGGGCAGCCAATTTTCAAACAGCAAAAGAGGGAAAAACAGGCACAGTGGACTTGGAAACCCAAAGGGTCAACTTGAAGAACTGAGAGCTAGCCCCCGTGCTCTCCTCCAATGACCAAAATAAAAGATGGTCAAGCCAAGAACCCGCTTCCCCCGGTGGTTTCCGCTCGGCCCTGGTACTCACGCTGACGTCGTGCTCCAGCTCCGCCAGCAGCTCAAAGTGCTGTTTCCTGGCACACGGCATCTCCGCGGGGACCCCGGACCACACCTGGGGTGGAATGCATTGCAGAACCCTTCCTTTAAGAGCACTGCTAACACGTGCGGCAAACACTCTCCTGACTGAGCAACTCCCACCTAACAGCTCCCAACAAAATGAAGCGTCCTAAGGCTGTTCTTCTGCCCTGTGCCTGCACTCTTAATCCTGCCACTCATGCTTCCTAAGGGTCTGCTGTGCCCGGGTCTGCTCCACCCCTTGCACTTACTGTTGTGACTTAAGTACTCTGTGAACTAAAATTGAAGTGCAGAAGTGTAGTCATGTTTATTAAGGTTTTGAGTGCTCAGTCGTGTCTGACTTTGCAACCCCATGGACTGCAGCCCACTAGTCTTCTCTGTCCATGGGATTCTCCAGTCAAGAATACTGGAGTGGGTTGCCATTCCCTTCTCCAGGGGATCTTCTTGACCCAGGGATTGAACCCATGTCTCTTATGTCTCTTGCATTGGCAGGTGTATTCTTTACCACTAGCACCACCTGGGAAGCCCCATTAAGGTTTTGAGAAAACTCAAAAAGGCAAGTTGCCAAAAAAATTTACTGACATTACATGTAGGCAAGAAAATTTACCAACAAGAGTGCCCCCTCTGGGGGAAGCAGAAATGATGAAAAACTTGAAGGAATTCTAATGGTTTTAGGTTCTTGCTTTCTGTTTACATAAAAACAAACTGGAAACCAAGGATGATGAATGCTGCTGTGGTTAATGCAGCAAAGTTGTGCAAGATTTCAGAGAAAAGACCAAGTGTGGTCCTGCATCAGTAATGATGAAGGAGTGTGTCTGCATTTTTCAGCGATTCTCCACTTATTTTGATATTTTCTGATTAACCGGTCAACTGCTAGTTCCACAGCTGCATGAGCTCAGATGGGCCGCTGCGTGTTTCTCAAATGAACCACTCGACCCCCAGTGGAGCACACAGGACAAGCTAACGAAAACATCTTCCCATACTGCACACTAAGGTAATAATCTCCCGTATCCTTCCACATCACTCACACTTTATGAAAAACAGTGACAAAGTGACTGAACACATCAACAGCAGGGAGTTGAATGGCTTATACTATTTGTATTATCCAAACATTTAAATCTAGAAATTATATATAAACCTTCACAGTAGAGTCCCACGATGCAGAATACAGCCTGTTGTCATGCCAACAGATCTTACTAACAGCATCGTCATGTCCCATTAATGTGTCCTGGCGTCTTCCAAATGCTATGGAATAAAAATAGCTAAAAGATAATGAGAACTATTAAGACAGCATTCCAGCTCAATGTTAAGATTCTTAAATACATTTTCAAGAAGCATTAGATTGTTTAATTTACACTAACTGAGGCCCACTGGAATTATAAATCATTTGTTCTCATGTTATCAAACCAAATACTTAAAATGTGAATTTAAAATTAGAAATTTCTAGGTCTGGCTCATCTGTGTTTTCACCTCAATTTAAAAACTTAGAGAAAGATAGAATCCAACTGGAGAAATTATTACTTTTGTGACCCCTTAGACTATATCCCACCAGACTCCTCTGTCCATGGTATTTCCCAGGCAAGAATACTGGAATGGGTTGCCATTTCCTTCTCCAGGGGATCTTCCTGGACCAGGGATTGAACTCACATCTCCTGCATTGCAGGCAGATTCTTAACCACTGAGCTGCCAAATAATCACATTCAAATCCAACCATCCTCATCTGTTCCCTTTTGAAAACAGTGAGGGAGCCCGTGCTCTCCTCCCTCAGGTCCACATAGGGAGCTACGTGGCGTGGGGGTTAGGGAGGGGCCCGCAGATACATACACATTATTATCCCAGGAAGAGCTTATGACAGTGGCGTCTCCTGGTAAAAGTAAACAGGATGATAAAGCCTGAAATACAAGTGACTCACCATTAATAATTTACAAAAATTAAATGACTCTTTAATGTGGTAAAACTATCTGATAACTTTTCCCCCAAATTAATCCCCAATTCTGGTTATGTTGCCCTTCCTCATATTCATGAAATTTCTCTTCATCTGGCTAATTCCAGATGCCTTGTTTCCTCCCAAATGTAGAAAAGTGAAAGGGTGTCAAGTGCGCAAGGACTTAGTGTGACAATTCTCAGGGGGTCCAGGCACCCTCACTGTTCTGGGCTGAGGGACCCCTACTTATATCAGGGTGGGGTGGGTGCAGGTAGGGACTGTTTTCAAGAATCCAAACACCCACTCTGGGTTATAGACTCAGGTGGCAAAGGAAAACTTCCAAAATCTTCAGGGAATTCCAAAATCTTTCGGATGCTTTACATCAACAATAAGATGTGTTTTTTCCAAAAGAACTGACTTTCTAGTATTAGATATCAACTTAGAAATGCATTAAAAGTTATATAAGTGGCACATATACATTTAGTCTGACAGTTCCAAAATAGGCACCATCTGTTGAGAATTCTACTGGATAGCAATGTAAGCTTTCTAGGCTACAAATAAAACCACAACAACATGAGAAAGAGGTAACCTGAAAAAATTTCTGATTTAATTTACAAGGAATCTACCTAAGGCATTCTGTAGCTACCACACAGAAATAAACCCGATTATCTGGGAAGAAACGAATGTCACGTGTGTGTGTGTGTGTGTGTGTGTGTGTGTGTGTGTGTGTGTATGAAACAAACTGCTCCATGAATTTCCACCATAACGCTGATGCAAAATGAAAATGAACTCAACTCACCATATTTGAGAATGATATGCTTCTCTGTAGCATCCTGGATTCTTTGGAAAACATCTTCAAGGTGGAATCTAATTTAACAACAACAACAACAAATGCATCAGAAAGGTTTCCTGACCCTTAGACATGACCAGCACATGCCGAGGTAATGGGCAAGGTGACCAAGGGCTGGGTCCCCCACAAGGACTCTCTAGTCTGTGAAGTTCTATGACCTATGGCGTCATGACAAGGTCAACTGAGAGCCATGACGAAAGGCAGAGTTAAACCTCATAACTGATAAGACTCTAAAGTTTACACATGAGGAAAAGAGAAATTGTAAAACCAAAAGATCCTGGCAATGTAAGGATTTTTTTTTTTTAAGTAGCCACATTATAGTGTGATATACTTATACTGCAGGCTTCCTGGGTGGCTCAGTGGTAAACAATCTGCTTGCCAATCCAGGAGACCCCAGTTTGATCCCCGAGTTGGGGAAGATCCTATGGAGGAGGAACTGGCAACCCACTCCAGTATTCTTGTCTGGAGAATTTCATGGACAGAAGAGTCTGGCAGGCTACAGTCCATGGGGGTCACAAGGAGTCAGACATGACTGACCGACTAAACAGCAACCCTAGTGCTGCATTAGCATTTATGGAAGAGAAACACTAACTTTCTAATAATAAACTGGGGATTAAAATGTCCAAGCTTTTTAATTTTCTTGCCTAACAGAAACTTTAGAAGTGCATCAAGGTGACCTTTTAAATAAGACTGCAAAATTGCTATGTGCTCCAAACACCCATATTTGAAATATGCAACAATATGTTTCCTAATTTGAAAACATACAACACAATAAATAAAAGGTGAGATGAGCTTTAAATCATTTCTTCTTTACAGTACAACCTAATATTTCGACCTACTTTTTGCCAACACCAACATGCAGAAGTGTACTGGGGTGTCAGACAGAAAACTGTCAGCAGCCTGGCATGTAAAGATGCTTTCTCAACATCAGAGGATCCCGCTTGTACTGGGGATGACCACGCCAGAGGCTGCTGCAAGCGGGTCTCCCAGAGGGTGGGATCGCCCGTGGGGTCGCCCACACCCCTGGACACACACTGCACCTCTGAGGAAGAGCTGCAACCACGGGGTGACCGTCAGGGTACATGTAAGTCAGTGATACACGTGGAAATATAAATGTACACAGATCAGCAATATAAGCTATTAACAGTGAAGAAAGAAACAGAAAATAACAAAAGCTTTTGATTAAAAAGAATGTTGGCAGGTTCACAAAGAAGCCATAGGCTTCATAAGCCTCAGAGGTTTAAAGCCTTGATGCCTGTAAAACTCACAGTTTACAAGGTCAGAGGAGTACAGGGAACTGAAGGAATTAACAAACAAACCCAGCTAAGAACGCAGGCTTTGCTAAAAAGATAAGGGTCTTGTCTGGTGTGATGACGGCAGACCTGGGCGGGGCGGGAACCCTGGCCGATCAGCACCACCGTCGGGCTGCCCCCAGCGTGGCCCGCATGCACACTGCACGTGTACGCCCTCTGGTCCACCATGGGATTCTTTTCTGGGCTTTGTGGAAATTCTATTTTATGAAACCCAAGGTCGTATCTGACAGAGAAAGGAATGACACGCCGAGAAATGAAAGCCGAGGTCCCACGATCTGAGACCAGCAACTCCGACCTACTGGAGCGGTGTGGCCGCACAGCATCTGGCCTCAGCTTAATGGACGAAAACCAGAATTTCCTACGACGAAGACTGAAGCACAGGCAGGCGGCCACTTACAGTGACGAGCTCTGTCCAAACCAGGTGTGCAAAAGTCCATGTGGGGCGGCCAAGCTCCTCCCCGCTCATCTCCTAGCCCTCCTGAGCACCTGCCACAACTCAGACGGGACGCGGACGAGATGTGCTTCGGTTAACGGCATGTCGTGTAGACTGCCAGGAAAAGCAATGCTGAGGCCAGCAGGAAAAGCCCGAGGCTGAGCTTCTTAGGATGAAAACAGCGAAGTTCTCGTGTGTCACTGACATACAGTTACAAGACTATCAACCAGCCAGTGCAGGACTTCTGCCGGATTTTGACAATGTACAAGTACATTAACGGTGTATGAATCAGATTTCTGAACTCAACCCGACAATCAACACCTGATCAGAAAATCTAATTCATACACGAGATACCGAGGGACAGAAGTGGACAACACAACAGCCTGTCTGCCTCCCCACACGCTGCTGTGCTGTCCCTGGTCAAGCCCTCGCCCCCCAGGGAGGGACAGGCCCACCACACACTCTTGCTGCCCCACCCCTTAAAATTCTAGGAACCTTATCAGCAATAGAAAGGCATTTGCCACTGTTGCTTTTGGCAAATTAACAATGAAATTTTATGCATCATGCCACAAACTAGCGGCCCAGAATTTCACGTGCAGGTGACACGGCAGGTGCAGTCCTGGACTGAGACGGGACACTTGGACACTTGGTGACTCAAGAGGACCCACCTTTCAGGTAGGCAAACACACCTTGTGAGGTTGTGAAGATGGACGAGCCACTGCGGGACACGGCTATTCCAGTGACGGCCCTGTCGGGAAACAAAGTGTCGTGAGTCACCATCAGCCGTGCGCTTGGACGCCGGCCTCCTGCAAGGCCCCGATTTGAGTCCAAATTCCTGTGACTGTTTTCTTCACAGGATGCCGCCTGGACCCATCCCACCTTCCACAAGGCATCAGCAAGTCATGGCTCGGCAATTCCTAATTCTGCTCCGGCAACGCCTATGGCTGGAAAACACCCCCACTCATAGCTCCGAGGCCGCCCTGTGTGAAGGCTGCCCCGTGTCTGCCCACTAGAGAACCAGTGACACTCGCTGACTGCCACGGAAACGCCTCCATGCAGTCACTTCACTTGCTTGGTCACTTAGCATCTGTCCCATGGTGACGCTGTTGTCTGGTCCTGAGAAGGGCTGGGACCCGGGACCCTCTGCCACAATGCTGGTACCTGGACAAACGTCTCCTCCAACAACAAAATGCAAAGAAACTATAAAGGACTGAAAATAACTGTGTGCCTGGGCAGCTGGGGCAAATTATGAACAAGAAAATAGAAAAAGATAAAAAATCTGATGCCACTTCTGAAGAGCTGGGAGCAAAAGCAGGGGACTGTGCCTGCCCCCTGCACACAGCACCCAAGGGGTGGACCAACCACAGAGCCACCCCTCTGGCCCGACCCCTGGACCCACCCCTACCCTCACCCCGCTTAAGGAACCAGCCTGCCCCTCACGTGGAGCGAGCAAGGGAACATGCTGTTTGTCCCTGCTCCCTCTGCCTCAGCCCGGGCCCCAACAAAGCCTCGCCTGAATTTCCTGTTCGGCCTCTGATCAATGGCTACAGATTAAGGGGGTCAAGAACCCAGGTCAGTATCGGTCCCGGCAGGCCCTCTTCCAGGTTCCCTCATGTCTTCATGGCCTCAGGTGTCGAGGCCCCTTTCTACCTGCTGTTTAGAGAGGGTGGCGAGGGACAGCCAGTGTTACAAGGAATAAGGGGGAACCACAGGTTTCTTTGCAGGAGGCCATGCTCTGACTGGGGGCTGTGGATCGGACGGGGACAGGCCCATTCAGTTCTACCCATGACCGGGTGTACATGGCATCAAAGGTCACACAGGCCGTCGGTGGCCCTAGAGCAGGATGTGGGGCCTCATCCCAGCCCGAGTTTTCTTCCCTGGAGCGGGATGGGTCAGCGAGGTTAGTGCTGCCCAACCTTCCCACCGAGTCCGTCACCACAACCTCTCTGGGGCCAACGCAAGCCTGATTTGAGGGAGGGCATTTAGAAAAAATTCTTATGAACTGTACAACGTGCTCCCTCTCTCCACGTATACACACATGTTTATCATTTTTTAAAAAGGACACATTTTCCCAGATGATAACAGAAAGTGTGACACATGGGGAGATATATCCTGTTTCTCAAGAACTTCACACCATCAGACTTGAGGGCCGTGAGCCTGTCTGAGGAGCACCCAGCCACCTGCCATCAGTAGCTCCGTCTGCGCTCTAGAACGATCGACGGCCGAAACGACACACCCACTTTCTGGGCCACACTGGCTCCGGGTGGCTGGTCCCTGTGACAGTGTAGGGGGATAAAAACCAACCGAGACAACTTTGAAAGACGACAGCCCCCCGTGACTCAGCTTAACCCGGCTTCACCCCAGGCCGAGACCCCACCGTGAGCACGGCCAGTAGCAACCAAGACAGCTTTGATAGACGACGGCCCCCCGTGACTCAGCTTAACCCGGCTTCACCCCAGGCCAAGACCCCGCCGTGAGCACGGCCAGTGCAGAGACGCTCTTACTCCTTGTGGATCCTGTGATGCTCCTGGGGCTCTAGCCGGGCGATGTTACTCCAGGCCAGGGTTCTGCTCTCTTCTGTCAGGTCCTCAAAAGACTCTTCGCCTGGAGAGACTACATTAAATTGCAACTCAGTCAGTCAGCTAAGCTTCTAAGCAGCACTGGAGACAAGCATCAGAGTCCTAAGAATTTCTATTAAAATCAAACAACGAAGAGAGCGAAACACCCACCGAAAAAGAACCACTTTGAAATGCACTTGTTAGATAGCTCCATGTTAGTCAAGGGGAAAAGAATATGGTGTATGATCTAAATAAAACATCATTTGAAGATTAAGAAGTATCTTTGAATACTATAGTCTTTGTGCACTTTTAGCAATGTCTGCGGAGTTTTCACTCAACCCCGAAGCTGGGAACTTCAGGAAACACAGCACTGAATAACCATTTCCCTGTCAGTGATCTTTTCAAAAACCTGCCAGTTCCGTAACAACACTGCAGTGTTTTGGTTTTGGTTTTGAGCGGGAGAAAAAAGATATGAAACCAGCTATTACCACCCTCCTGGGCAGGACTAGCTAAGCCATCCCTCTGCTTCTGTTTTGAGAAGGGCTGGAACAATTTCCCTTTTGAGATAATCCCCATGGATGGATCTGGTGATTAAGCTGAGCATGGGTTCAAGGGCATCACGAGATAATCCGATGGTCTTCATGACTCAACCCGTGGAGCTTTCTCTCCTCGGGTCACAAGACTGCAGGCAGCTAGGCCTCCAAGCCGAGCAAGTCCCAACTGTATGGCCTGAGGAGCCTGGACGTGACGGGGACAGAATGTAGAACTGGAGATGACAAGCAGTCCAACTGTTCCACTCCCGAGGTCCACGCAGGGTCAGATTCCTGGGAGCCTGGGTGTCTGAGGCCGCTTTATGTGAAGTGTACAACGTGGATAACTGGATGAAGGGACTCATTCTTTCTTCCCTTTCTAGGTACCAGCCGTGAGAACAGGGTCAAGTTCATTTCCTGGCACAGATGCCCTGTAAATGTCTGTCAAATAACTGAATAAAAAACCAGAATCGAATAAACAGAGCACCCTGCACTGAAGATCTGTATGTGGGGGTGGAGAAACAGGGATGTTGGAAGTCATTCCTGGGACAGGGCTAGGTGACACTGTTAACAGTGGCCACAGCCAGGACAGATCAACATGAAAACATGAATGGCCAAGAATCAGAGACCAACTTGGAGAACAACAGAAAAGAAAGAACTTAACTGCAACAAATGCGGCCAGGTTGCATTAAATTACCAGAAACTAAAAGTGAGTCAATTTCCTTTACACAGTTAAAAATAAACAAAACAACAAAAAGAGGTCTGTTTGTAGGAGAAACTCAGTGAGACAGTAAAACAGAATCATCTCTAAGCTGTTCAGGGTTCATAACTCGTTTCTTCTCCCGAACCTTCAGAAAACGGCTTAATCAAGAAAGAGAAACAGAAGGTGCTCATGTTGTTTATTCTCTTTACAAGATTTACCTGGAGAATCTGCTGTGGAGGCATTGTAACTGGAAGGCTGGGACAAGCTTTTAAATTTTGGGGTGATCCTTCGAGGATGGGGTGTCACAAACAGCTGTCTGGGTGTCTGTCCAAACTCTAAGATCTGGGTGAGCATGGCGACCTTTTCGTCAGGATCCTCGATGCTTTGGACAGAACACAAACCCTGTGGTGACCATTGGAGTCAAGCTCCCTGAGTGCATGCATTTCAAATAATTCAGATCAACAGGAGAGAGACTGACCCTCAAATAGTAACAGCAACTATATGCTAGCACTGTCTAGACTGTATTGTTTGTTTGTTGTTTAGTTGCTAAGTCGTGTCTGACTCTCTGTGACCCCATGGACCTCTGTTGATGTGACCACCAGGATCCTCTGTCCATGAAATTCTCCAGGCAAGAATACTGGAGTGGGTAGCTATCCCCTCCTCCAGGGGATTTTCCCGACCCAGAGATGGAACCTGCATCTCCTGCATTGGCAGGTGGGTTCTTTACCACTGAGTCACCAGGGAAGTTCCCTAGACCACATTACATGTCTTTAATTTCTGAGGCTCAATAATTTCTATAATGGTAAAAGCAGGCTATAGTTCACTGTAACATTCCCATGCCTTTATATCTTCAGATAACTGCATTCATCATTTAGACGCAGAGCTCATTTGTGGCTCAAGTAGAAAATTCCTTACAGACACGTAAATACCTGTTCACGTCCACACCTCCTTCATATGTCAGCGGATGAAACACTGGAAATAGAGACACAAAAACTATTGAAAGCTGTGCTGTTTTCTTCCAATTCACGATGCTCAGAATTTTAAAAACAACAACTTTTAACTTGTATTCCAAGAAACTGACTTTCACTTTGCAAAACAGCCTCATACCACCCAGCCTGGGCCAACATCAATGAGGACTGTTAGGTTTTCTGAGCTGCAGTCTAACTGGCGGTGAGACACTCTGTTATCTGGGTGTGTGTCTCAGTTGGCACCTTCTGGGGTGAGCACAGAGGACCGTGTGTGGAGGACAAGCAAGGGGTCAGACCACCTCCCGCCACCTGGGCCGAGCAGGCTGGAGGAGGCGAGACCTGACCGCGAAGAGGAGAGCTGCGGCCGGCTCCTGTCTGCTCAGTAACAGAGATGCCCCAGGGCCCTTGTGGGAGCTGTTCGATCCTATCCTGACTGAGCTTTAGCAGAAATTACTGAATGCGGTGGAGCGGACATGCTGAAGGTAGGAGACTTCAGGATAGACCCCTTGGATCACAGAGAAGTGGGTGTTTTTAGACAAAAGCACTTCCTCCTCTTTCACCCAGGATTGAATGTGGGGTCTCTGAGCCAGGAGACCCCGTATGCTGAGACCAGATGCTTCAGCGAAACAAGCTGGGCTGTGCTGAGCCCATCGTGGGCGGTTTGCTTTTTTTTCTGTCAAATGCCGAATGGAGTTTCCACGGCTGCTACACACCATTGTGGGCTCCGACGGCATCCCGGCCCTGCTGCTTGTAGCCAAACACCAGGTCGATCCACTCATGCAGGTGCTCGGACACATGGTCACTCTCCAGCGCAGCTCTGCTCTTCCGGAGAAAGTCCTCGGGACCTAGGAGGAAGCCGCCGTCAGAACACCCGGGGGCGCCACCTGACTTCCTCCCATTCCTTCGTTTTTGGCTTTTGGCCAAGCTTGCGGGATCTAGTTCCCCAACGAGGAACTGAACCCTGGCCCCCTGCATTGGGAGTGTGCAGTCTTAACCACTAGACCACCAGGGACACCTCTCCCATTCCTTCTGTCTATCTACATGTCGACAGACACTGGGGCTTCCCAGGCGGATTAGCAGTAATGAACCTGCCTGCTAATGCAGGACACAGATTCAATCCCTGTGTCAGGAAGATCCCCTGGAGGAAGAAGTGGCAACCCACTCCAGTATTCTTGCCTGGAGAAGTCCATGGACAGAGGAGTCTGGTGGGCTACAGTCCATGGGGTCACAAAGAGTCAGACACGACTGAGCAACTAAGCATGCAGGCATATAGGCCAGGCTTCTGGGATAGGCCAGAGGGACATGTTCCTTAACGAGGCTCACCCACCCACCTCCATCATATAAAATATAAATCTGAGGTGGAGGGAGAGGCAAAAATCATTTTTACGTTTAGCTCTCTCAAGTACATAATAATGTTTTTACATCATAGTCTAACAGAATACTTACAGTTTGGAGTAATATTTTTACCATCTCCTCTAGACAGAGAATTCTACTGTTTTAAAAAATCTAAGCAACTAAACAACAACACTGAAATTGCACGACTACGTGGAGAGTTTCCGAGATTCAACACTCCCCAGGTGGTACTCACTCCGTGCCCAAGGCGGGAGCTCTACGTCGTTCACCAGCTGCCCTCCTTGTCTCTTCCCCAAATCCAACTTCAGACTGTTGACTAAGAAGCTGACATCATCACCGTAGAATTCGGGGATCAGCTGGAAGTTTTGAGGAAGAGAGAAAAGAACAGCAGCAAATATCTTTTTAAAGCAGTTAGAAGCCACAAGCCCAGTGAATCATTAGCCTGGTAACTGCTTACCTCTTTAAAATCGGTTGCACCATCCAAACAGTTTTTCCAAGTTTCTGCAATACTAAATATGAAAAAAAAAAACTGAACTGATTTTAAATCCAGGGTATGGAAATAGCAACAGCAGCACTTCTAGGTGCCAGGGTGCTATTCTACACTTTATCTAAGTCAGATCATTTCTCTTATTAATTCAATTCCCAACATTCACAAGAGTGCCCCTCTCCCCTTTTATAGACAAGAAAACTCTGGGTCCACACAGGGGTGTAAGTGCAGGGTCAGGACATGGACCTGGCGGGGGACATCTGCAAGTCCATGCCGGAGCCTCCCCCACACGTGGCCTCATTGAAGGGCCACTCGGGGCAGGTGCTTCAACATGAAAAATGAGCACAACTATTTTAATAGCTCATTTCAAAAAGGGATTATAGACACGTGCAGAGCTTAGCAAAAGACTGGAAAAGACACAGACCAAAAGATGAACAATGAGTTCTATCTCATTGTGGTCAGAAGCCAAGTGAAGTTATTTTCTTCTTTATACTCTTTGCTTTTCATGGTAAGAAAATATTACTTTTGTAACTAAAAAATAAACACTCAGGGAATTATATTCAATTCATAGCAGGCTTATTTAGAATAACGAAATGTTGGAAACAGCCTAAATGTCCAACAACAAACAAACAGTTAAAATAAATTACATCATACATTAGGAAGGGATACAGTCATTAAAAAAAAAAACAATCACCATTTTGCAGAACATCTAACAATATGGGAAAAATTTTAAGATCTAATACAAGGCTGCAAAAGGCAGGACAAAATTTAAGATATGTTCTCACATTTACACACACACACACAACTACACAAAGCCTAAGAGGAACAGATACAACATTACTGAGTATGTATGTCAGTCACTCAGTTATGTTCCTCTCTTTGTGATCCCTTGGACTGTAACTCAGAAGGTTCCTCTGTCCACTGAATTCTCCTGGCAAGAATACTGGAATGGGTTGCCATTTCCTTCTCCAGGGATCTTCCCAATCCACGGATCAAACCCAAGTCTCCCACACCGTGGACAGATTCTTTACCGTCTGAGCTACCTGGGAAGTCCAACAATTTATGTATATATAGAAAATTAAAATCTTTTACATACTGGATAAAAGTTTAGGGAATAAACAGAAGTGTTTTTAAACTTACACTATATATGTTTTCTTCCATGTCTTTCCATTCTTGTTTATATCTAGTTTTTCCAAATAAACACATTGTGCGTGTGTAAATGAGAAAGTTTAAAGAGTGGAAAGTGGGGTGCGGTGTCTAACCTGTTGAACATCCTGTCCGCGTTGTCGAACCTTCCATTCTGCAGGCACAGCATGTACTCCGGCGCTAGAGGGGGAGAAACCAGAGTTAACGGGCTCACGGAGCCGCGCAGCGCCCACGTGCACACGCGTGTCCCCGGGAGTGACGACCTAGCAGCTCACCGATGCGGACCAGGTAGAAGAGCACGTAGCCTGGGGAGGAGTAGTGGCTGCCGTACATGAACCTGGGCTCCGGCATCTCCTGGTAGCGGGCCTGCGGCACAAGGGGAGGCCTGTGAGGGCCGGCTGGGGAGGCAGGAACTGACCCCGGAGAAAGCCTCGGAAACCACGACCTGACCACATCCCAGCCCCTGGTTTCTCTTAAATAGGAAAAGGAGCAGATAAAAAAGGGGGGGGAACTGAAGAGACACAGCATGCTTGCAACAAGCATCTTGGTTTTCTTGGCTGAGTGGTAACAGTGTCTGTTGGGATGGGACTGAGAAGAAGAAATTTTACCTATCTTTTGTGTGATTCGCCAAAGGATTACTTTGTCGTGAAAATAAATTGGCCAACCTGTGATCAGCTCCTACCCACTGAACTGTAGGCAAATGCTAAGCAGCTGAGTTCCTGGGGGAAGGAAGGCAGAGGACAGAGGCGGGTAAAGAATATGCTCAGAACCTCTGGTCTCTTCGGATACACCTCCATCAAGTTTTGGGGAAATGAGTGTCAAGGTGCTGTAAAAACACAGACCATGGCTCCTGGGTTGCTTAGAAACCAGGAATCCCCGGGTCCACTTACCAGCAGCCTCTCCAGACGCTCCTGGTTGAGGGCCCCTACTGGCTTACTGAGGTCCCGGAAGGTCTCTGGATTTGACAGATCTACAAAAGAAATAGATTATCAAAAATTAATTAAAATGAAGGATGAAACTAGAGATGATCATGCTAAATGAAGTAAGTCAGAAAGAAAAAGACAAATTCCGTATATTATATCACTCATATGTGGAATCTAAAATATGGCACAAATGAACCTATCTACAAAATAGAAACAGACTTGCGGGCACAGAGAACAGACTTGTGGTTGCCAAGGGGATGGTGGAGGCGAGAGGGATGAGCTGGGGGTTAGCGGATGCCAACTGCTACATTTAGAATGGAAAAACAACAAGCTCCCACTGTATAATGCAGGGAACTATATTCAACACCCTGTGATAAACCACAATGGAAAAGAATATTACAAAATACTGTCTGTCTGTGTAAACTGAGTCACTTTGCCGCACGGCAGAGATTGGCACAATGCTGTGAACCAACTATAAATCAATTAAAAAAGGAAAGAAAACAGAAAGCCGGCGAGCTTATACTTAATAGCATTACTCTCTGAACTGATTCACATGCACACATTTATTTCCAAATGATAAGCAGCTTTCTAAAAGTTGGGACAGGTCCATTAGAATTACAGTATTCCTGATGGTTATTTATATAGCTGTAAAGGTTAGAACTTTTGAGTGTTTAGTTAGCTACAGCCACTCAAGAATAAAATCTAATTTCAAAATGTTCAGAATATTGATTTTTAAAAAAAGACCTACTGATTAAGAAAAATTATATTCCAAGTAAAACGACAGCAGAAAGTAAACAAATTTCAAAAGCCATTATTCTATCAAAACTTACTTTTTAGGTTTGAATTACTGTGAATATTATCCTATGATAATAGCATAACTGGAGAACTGGGGACCTGAAAATTATCAGATAAATAATATTCCTAGAGAATCTGTCACCTCTTTCAAGTAAAAGGGAGCAATCAGTGAACTGTCAAAAGTAATTTAATGTTCACAATATCTAATTTTAAGCCATTATAAAATAAAATTACACTGCAATCACAATAATTTTGGTAAAATAATTTGAGAGAAAGAAATAGACCACAAAGTTAAGTGGTTCTCTCTCAGTAATGTGATTATTGATGATTCTTATCTCCTTGAGGATTTCAGTACTTTCTAAGTGCTCTACATGAGTTTGAGTAAACTCTGGGAGTTGGTAATGGACAAGGAGGCCCGGCATGCAGCAGTCCATGGGGTGGGAGAGTCAGACACGACTGAGCAACTGAACTGAACTAAGTGCTTTATAATGAATAGTTATTACTTTTGATAATCACATTTTTGAATCTGAATTGAAAGATAATATGATAACCTGAGATGCAATTTTCCCAGGTGAACTCTCCAGTATTTGAAAACAATACTTGTTGGTAATTATGGTAACAGTGGCTAAAGGTCACATGCATAGTTTTCTGGGTATGGCTTTCAAGATGTATGTGAGTAGTTTCTTTAGGATTAAAAAAAAATTCAGAGACAGCAGAGAGAACATACAGAACACACATAATTCATGTAACATGTATTATCCAGCATCATGGCCCAGAAACTGGCCACTAGAAGCACGAGACAGAACGGGTTCTGCTCTGCTCAACGTGTCCTAGAATGGAGTGGGCTCTTTGCTCTGAAAGCCCAGCCCGTGCACGCACCCAGCTCGGAGCTGCTGTAGTCGCCGATGACCCAGGGGAACACGGGGTACTGCGAGAGGTCGCTGCAGCTGCGGTCGGCCAGCGAGTTCAGGTGCAGCAGGTACTGGTAGTTGGACAGGAGGCCGCGCTGCCACTGCAGCGTGTAGCCCTCGGCCGTGCGCTCCGGCACGTGGTGCTCTGCGGGGACAGGGGACGGGCCGGATCACACCACGCTCAGCGCACGCCGGCCGGGCCACTTAGCAAGAGACGGGCCTACAGGCGCTTGTGGTGTAGACCCTTCAACCCACTGTTGAAAAGCACATTTCAAAAAAAGAAAAGTAGGCTACAGTTTTCACAAAAGAGTTGTCTGGTCAAAGATGAGCATCTCTAAGATCCAGGAGGGAAAATGATCAAATATGTGATATGAAACATCATATCTATGAGATATATGATAGAAAACATACTGTATCTATTAAATATATAAAACGTCATATCTGTGAGAGATATGACATAGACATATCACATCTATAAAATATAGGATATAAAACATCATATCTGCTAAATAGATATGACATAAAACAGATATGAAAATATAGAAAATATATAGAAAATATAGAGATATGAAAAATACATCAATATTACATGGCAATATATAATGTTTACTATATTTATCTGTAGTCTACAGTACATATTTACTAACAAAGAATCCTTCCCAACGTGCTTGAGTTTCAATGCCTTTAAGAAGCCATTACTATTTGAAAAAGCTCATTTCCTCCATTTCTTATGAAATCAAAACAAAACCATCTTTTCCTTCTCTTTTAGATCTGGAAGACAGGCACACAGCTGATTTGTCAATGACTATGTATTATTTATGCAAGTGAGGAATACGGAAAAGAACAGAAACTGCTGAAGGAGAAATCAGGTGTCTATCAGGAGGACATGATTTCTCAAACTAGAAGGCCCAGAAAGACCACTCGGAAATAACCAGGAAACAAGGAAACACAGGTTGTGTGACACCAGTGAGAACCTTCCTGCGAAATGAGCCCACTTTTCTACTGTGTTTAGAGAATTCTGCTTTCAACTTTTTATTGGCAGCATCAAACAATTTTCCTGATTTGCTGATTCAATATTTATTCTTATATACGTTGCCAAGTTTCTTCTCTAACTATCTACTGGAAAGGGTTTAAAAAAAAATCAGAACACTTATCCTCTGATTTTCCATTCTTAAAACATCACAGAGAAAGTCTGAACAATCTCAGGAATAAACTCGGAAAGGACACTTCACAGAAGCAGACTTTCTAGACCATGGTGTGTTTAAGATTTTAGGACTCACTATGAGAGTTGAGTTTTGTGTTGCAATCTTGTTACAGTTAGAAAAATTAAATGAAAAAATTAAACTGGGAGGCAGGAGATAACAGTACACCTGGAGCAAAGCTGTAGTTATGGACGGAGTTAAGCTGAACAGCTTAATGTGAGAATAAACAAATATGAACTTTCGTAAAGTTCACTTATAAACTTTAAAATATGTTCTTCAATGAAAACAAACGATTCCTTCTTGAGAGAAAATTTCTTTTCTAAGGGAATTAACTCACTACTTCATAAATGGGTTCACTGCACACTGGAACAGCAAACAAAACTGAGATGGTATTAATAAAATATCCAACATGTACTTAAACTCATCCCATTCTAGTCATCTGACAACTCTGAAAACAAGAATAACTTAATTCAACCATACAACTTAATATGTTTGTGCTCAAAAAGGAAAATACAGGTGTCCTCTCTGAAAAAGTGGGAAAATTCACATTTCCCATGGAAGACTGAGGAAGTGGAGTTAGAAGCAAACTGTGCTCCATGGTACCATAAGAGCATAGAAGGTTCACGCGTTCCTTTTGTACGGTTTCCCAGCTTTGTGATTAAGACCACAATTAATGATCGCAAACACGACTGCATACCCCACTGTCTCACATGAAGAAACCCAGTCCTGGCATTCATAAACTAACATACGACAGGACTAGACATAGAAAATGATCACGTGTATTCTTTATAATCCATTCAACTTGCATGTCATTAAGATACAGAAAACATATAAATACACTCACCAAGAGTTTTTAAAATACAGAATTTGAGTGAGCTATAACCAAATTTCATTTATACCTCCCTTTGTCTCTAAAAAGCCACTCTGCTAATGATGGTCACCGGTGAGAACAGATAAATGGAACCCTGGAGAGGTGACAGTGGATACAGCAGCTGTTCCACTGCTGAACCACCTCCACGTGGACAGACACAAGGACGGGTGAGCACCAAACCTAGATATGTAGCGATGTAAAAATAGAGGTCGTCTCGGTCCTGACGTTCATAGAACTTCAGGTAGATGTCGGAACACAGGTCATCTTCTGTGCAAAACACTTCCAAGCCCTACAAACCCAGGGAGGATAGAACAAATTGCACCTCAATGTGAGTGACTCAAGTACAAAAGCCTTTCAATTCAACACTTGCATTTTTTATTTGTAGGTCTCGTATGCATATTCCCCAGCATTCATTTAATTTTTATAACATGAGAACAGGACATGTATTTCAGCTAAACTTTATAAAATCCTTTTTAGTGCTGAATATTTTTGCTGGTAATCACATTTGTGAATTTGTGCTGAATCAAAATTGGCAATTTGTGTCTTCACATATGTTCTTCAAACACAACTGATTAGCTTTTCCTTTTTAATCATAATTCTGATTTTATATTTAGAACTCTCATGCATACTTTTTATACTTTTAAGTACATTTTTATGTGCCTCTAAATATATGTAGCATTTTTGTATATTAAAAAATATAAACTTTTCTGATTAGGTTTTTGTGATTTGTGTATGTTGATATATACATGGTTGGTTTATGTTTTAACGACAATATTTCACTGAATGAATAATTCACTTTGTATGCCCTGTCGTGTCAAATTCTTTGCGACCCCATGGACTGTAGCCCACCAGGCTCCTCTGTTAATGGAATTTTCCAGGCAAGAATGCTGGAATGGGTTGCCATTTCCTTCTCCAGGAGATCTTCCCGACCCAGGGATCAAACCTGTCTCTCCTGTATATCCTGTATTGGCAGACAGATTCTTTACCACAAGTGCCACATGGGAAACTGATAAATTACTATAGTGATCCTCTTATTGATGAAAAGCTAAATTCAACCATAATTATGTCAATTTAACAAATTGATAATTGAACTCATTGAAATAGGAGCTTGCAACTATTCTTAAGAAAGCTGTTGAGCTGTATAGATGATGTGTTGGTGAGGCTGAGACAGGACAGTAACAGAAAGGATGAAAACAGAGCATTGTCCTAGGTTCAAATATAGGCTTTCACATTACTAGTTAACTCTTTGGAGTCTCAATTTCTTTGAGATAGGGTATCATGTAACCTCAGAGCAGTTGTGCTGGTGAATGGGTACTGTACATAAACTGCCCAGTACACACAAAGTGCTTAATCAATGCCAATTTCTTCTCTCCTTATGACTGTATTTCTGTATTTTTAACAGCATCTGTTTCCCTAATCCTCTGTTGGTACTGAAAATGGAGAATCACCTTCAATGTAAGAGAGGCAAGAAAATAGTTAAATTTCATAAAGATAAAACACCAAAAGAAGCTGCTTCAGTATCCACAATGCTTTTGTAATGCTACTCACTGGTTAATCTTCAAGGGAAAACAAATACGTTGGTATTGACATCAAATGACAAGCCCTTGGAGTCACACCCTCTGTGGGGACTGGTTTCTAGATTATAAGTGTGTGACTCACAGGAGGGTAGACTTGGGCTTAGCCAGAGGCAGGGCAGGCAGGACAGCCTTGGTGGTTGAAATGGTTATCTTATCTCAACAAATGGTTTCTCCCTCTCACCAGGCCTGGAGGCAGAAGTAATCTAAGTTCACAGTGTCCACTGAGGGCTGATGCTCTAAGAGCTTCTGAGCTCTGCCTGGAGACCTTGCTAGGCTGTAAGAGGGTGGCGGCAAGGAGCCCTGGGACCCGTTCTGCACAAACCCAGAGCCCCGAGCATGTGGGAGGGGAAACCAAGGGCTTCGAGCCCTCTTGCTCTGGGAGCAAGAACATGTTCCCTGCAGCTCTCCCACCTCCCCGAAGAGCTGCTCCTTTAAAAACAGCCAGCTCACCCAGAAGGAGGAGCCGTGAGACTCAGAGCCCATCTGCTTACAACACAACAAGCCTGCACCTTCCAGAGTGGCCCCAGGTGCTTTAAGTCAATGAACCACTGACCAACCTGAAGACGAAACGCCCATTCTCCAGGGGAACTCACCAGAGGCATAAGGCCGTGTCTCCTCTTGTAAATGCGGCGGATGTCCTGGAGCATTATCTGGACCACGGGTTTCTTTAAAAGTAGAGAGAGAGAGGATGAGCTGGTTGGATGGCATCACCGACTCAATGGACATGAGTCTAAGCAAATTCTGGGAGATGGTGAAGGACAGGGAAACCTGGCGCGCTGCAGTCCATGGGGTCACAGAGAGTCAGACACCACTGAGCAACTGAACAATAAAAGAGAGAAGATCTCAAACTGCAACATTCTGACACAACTAGAAGCTGCCCTTCAGTATCAGAAAGGCAAAGATGAGCCCATCTTAACTTCCCAACAGGTCACAAGTGAACAGCTAGAAAGGGGGCTCTTAGGACAGGGCACACCCCACTCTGTGCCAGCCTGCCCTTTCCACTAGCTCTGTGACCATGGACATGTCCCTCTACTCACCCCGCCTTGGTACTCAACTTCTCAGAATGATAATGCACGCATCTTTAAGATTCTTTTTTTTTTCCACGCATCTTTAAGATTCTTTTTTTTTTTTCCTTTGATGTGGGCCATTTTTAAAGTCTTTACTGAATTTGTTACAATACTGCTTCTGTGTTACATTTCAGTTTTTTGGCCGCGAGGCATATGGGATCTTACAGCTCCCCGACCAGAGAGCGAACCCATACTCCCTGCATTGGAAGCTGGAGTCTCAACCACTGGACCACCAGGGGATCCCTAGGCATCTGCCTTTCAGGTTTTTGGAAAGTTGCTGAGTGATAAAAAGCATTAAGGGATTAGTGAAAACAACCTCACAGGAATTTTGCTTTTATAGACTTATAGTTTGCTCAGAAACTAATATGCATCTTTTTTAGAGTCCTGTCTTTTATCTCCTTAAACTACAGTGTTGTTGTTCAGTCGTTAAGCCATGACCGACTCTCTGCGACCCCATGGACTGTAGCCTGCCAAGCATCTTTGTCCAAGGGATTTCCCAGGCAAGAATACTGGAGGGGGTTGCCATTTCCTCCTTTAGGGGCTCCTTCTGACCCAGGGATCGAACCCGTGTTTCCTGCACTAGCAGGTGGCTTGTTTACAACTGAGCCAGCAGGGAAGCCCAAATCTCAGTGTAATAAAGCTCATCAACTAGAGTATAAACCAGAGCCTCTAAACTTTATGAGGAGGGAAATTTTCTTGCTTCTCTGGACCCTTGAAATGCTAGTAAAAGAGGAACAAGGTTACAAAAGGCTACAGGTCCACCCTCCTCCCACACGAGAGGGCGGAGGAGCCCACAGAGGCGGGGTATGCAGCTGTGGAAGCTGCCCCCAGCCCAGACCCCTGGGACCCTGAAGCTATGGCACAAACTCAGATACTTCTGCAGAAGTACCGACTCAAGCCACAGCAACTGTGGTGGCCCATACAACTTATCACCGCACAGAGTGTGGTGGTGCACGGCCAGCAGTTCATGTACTGTGTCCACTGGAGGGCCCGGCGGTGAGCTGCACCGCCTGGTGGACAGACTCATTACAGCATCACGTAGAAAAGGGCTTCCCTGCAGGCTCAGACTGTAAAGAATCTGCCTGCAATGCAGGAGGCCTGGGTTCAATCCCTGGGTTGGGAAGATCGCCTAGCGGAGGGCATGGCAACCCACTCCAGTATTCTTGCCTAGAGAATCCCCATGGTGGGCTACAGTCCATGGGGTTGCAAAGAGTCGGACATGACTGACTAAGCACAGCAGAGAGAAGGATATATTTGTGTTTCAGTGACACGTGGCGGTGGGGGGGAGCATGTTCAGTTGCATCTGACTCTGCAACCCCATGGACTGTAGCCCACAAGGCTCCTCTGTCCATGGGAATTCTCCAGGCAAGAATACTGGAGTGGGTTGCCATTTCCTTCTCCAGGGGATCTTCCTGAAACAGGGATGGAACCCGTGTCTATCGCATCTCCTGCATTAGCAGGTGGATTCTTTACCTCCAGCAACACACCAGGGAAGCACATACAATGACTGACCAACTGGGAGAACTTCTTCCATGGCAGAAAACACTCCTGTTCTTAAAGCTGCTGGCCAAAAGGACCAACCGCACGAGCAGAGTGTTGGGATTTCTGCTCTTTCAATGAACCTCTCTGAAAGGGGGCCAGATCTAGATAAAGCCTCTAATCTTAACAAGTTTTAGAGTAGAAATCTGAGTCTCTACTGTCTGGCCAAGTGAGTCTAAAGGCATCGTGGAAGAGAAGCCTGCTTCCAGCATCATCCCTGCAACCACCCAGTGATAGCATCTCACACATACCTCTGCGCCGGGCTGGAGAGGACCACTTCCTACCACTTCTCTGGGCAAGACTCAGACCTACTGATTGTGTTTATAATTAAGGAATAACAAGAAATACAACTCGGGAGAACAGATAAGCAGGTACACAGGAAACATCCATTTTCCTCAACCTCAGTAGATTTCACTGCTTGCTTGCAGAAGTGCTTCTAGGTAGAAAGGTATAAGCCTCTAAAGACCCTTTACTAAAATTGGGAGGGGTGGGGTTTCTTCTCGCATCGCTGAGAGCAAGTGACCCCAAAGTCAAAGAAAACAAGTTAGGGGTGCTCAAATGTCAAGGTCACATGGGGAGCCTGTTAAATACCAGATGCTGGTTGGGGAGGGGGGGGCAGCCATTCTGACTCTCACCAAAATGTGAGAACACAGTACGGTCAAGTTCAGGGGCTGAAAAGTTCACCGAAGACAAAAACTGCCATGCAAAGGAGCTCTCGCTGGCCCGCAGTCCGCTTACCGGGTACCCGTTGAGAGGCTGGAAATACAGGGTGGTGTCAGTGACGCAGGCGTGGCCAGGGTTCGTCACCAGAGGTGTCACCATTTCTGCTTTGCATTCCATGTGCAGCTTTTCAGAAACACTTTGGAATCTGAAAATACGTTTTCCAGCAAAAGCAAGAAAAATCAGAAATCAATCTACTTTCTAGAGTTAACTTTATCTGAGGGAGTTCCAGGGCGAATCTGCAGAACAGGTATCCAAACACAACACTTAATGTAAGAAAAGCGGTGGTGTAAGCTAGTCACCTAAATAAAACTGCCTTTCTTTTAATGGGTACAATGAGTACTTGATTTTGAAAAAGCAGATGAGGTTATGTATCACAGAATAGAAGACAGGCAAGTAAAAAACTTGTCAAACAGGCACAAGAAGAAACAGACAACCTAAGGAGTCATGTCGAGTAAATAAATTGAATAAGGCCTATATGGCTTCACCAATAAATTCTATTAAAAATTTAAGGAAGAAATACAATCCTGCACAAATTCTTTAGGCAAACAGAGACTAAAGGGGCATTTCTGAACTCATATTATACGGCGAGCACAACCCTGATAGCAAAACCTCACGACTACACCAAGATTTACAGAGCAACATCAATAACCTCAGGTATGCAGAGGACACCACCCTTATGGCAGAAAGCGAAGAGGAACTAAAGAGCCTCTTGATGAAAGTGAAAGAGGAGACTGAAAAGGTTGGCTTAAAGCTCAACATTCAGAAAACTAAGATCATGGCATCTGGTCCCGTCACTTCATGGGAAATAGATGGGGAAACAGTGGAAACAGTGTCAGACTTTATTTTTGGGGGCTCCAAAATCACTGCAGATGGTGATTGCAGCCATGAAATTAAAAGATGTTTACTCCTTGGAAGGAAAGTTATGACTAACCTAGATAGCATATTAAAAAGCAGAGACATTACTTTGCCAACAAAAGTCTGTCTAGTCAAGGCTATGGTTTTTCCAGTGGTCATGTGTGGATGTGAGAGTTGGACTGTGAAGAAAGCTGAGCGCTGAAAAATTGATGCTTTTGAACTGTGGTGTTGGAGAAGACTCTTGAGAGTCCCTTGGACTGCAAGGAGATCCAACCAGTCCATCCTAAAGGAGATCAGTCCTGGGTGTTCTTTGGAAGGACAGATGCTGAAGCTGAAACTCCAATACTTTGGCCACCTCATGTGAAGAGTTGACTCATTGGAAAAGACTCTGATGCTGGGAGGGATTGGGGGCAGGAGGAGAAGGGGACGACAGAAGATGAGATGGCTGGATGGCATCACCAACTCAATGGACATGAGTTTGAGTAAACTCTGGGAGTTGGTGATGGACAGGGAGGCCTGGCGTGCTGTGATTCATGGGGTTGCAAAGAGTCAGACACAACTGAGCGACTGAACTGAACTGATCCATCAACAGAGATGTAAAATCCTTTACATCTACTATTTACAGCCACAACTACTGAGCCCATGTGCTGCCACTACTGAAGCTCGTGTACCCTGGAGCCCGCCCGAGCTTCACAAGGCAAGCCGCCGCAACGAGAAGCCACGCACCGAGATGAAGAGTAGACCCCGCTCGTCACAACCAGAGAAAGCCTGCGCACAGCAACAAAGCCCCGGCACAGCCAAAAGTAAAAGGTGATTTTATAAAGTCCTCTATGAAATACTAGCAAAGAAAATCCAGTAATATGTAAACAAAAAAAGCAATACATCATAAGCAAGTCGGATTTATCCCATGAATACAAGGTTGTTTTAACAATGAAAAACCAATCAACATAATTCATACTGTCAACAGAATGAAAGAAAAAAGATGATTCCAATAAATGCACAAGAAGCAGTTCACAAAAATCTACATTCATTTTTGAAAATACTCTCAGCAAACCACGAATAATGAGAAACTTCCTCATTCCTCAAAGAGCATCCATGAAAAACCTACAGCAGGCATGCTGGCATCATTCTTTCGTGGTGAAACATTGAACCTCTTTCCTGTAATACCAAGAACAAGGCAAGAATGTCTGCTCTCACCGCATCTATTAATCAAACTGTGCAATGAGGCAAGAAGCAGAAATAAAAGCCTTAAAAATTTCTGTGAAACTGTCATTATTTACAGATTAAATAATAATGGACAGATGAAACACTATAGAATCTACAACCCCCACTTCCCCAAAACAGATGGCTTTACCAGCAAATTCTCTAACATTTTAATAGTATATATTATAGTATAATATAGTATGTATAGTATATATAGTATAGTATATAGAAGATTCACAAATCTCACAAAAAGGTAGCAATAAAACAGAGTATTACAAACTAATGTCATTTATACACATAAGCTTCTAGCCAAAGCCAACTAACGAGTACATTTTGGAAAAGCCACAGGATACATGGTCATTGTTTAAAAAAAACTATTTTCTATAAACCATTAAGAAATAATTGGAAAATAAAATTTTGATAGCATCAAAAAAAAATCCAGGATTATGCTCAAAAGACAGCAGCATCCACACACTATAATATAAACATATATGTTACATATAACATATATATAGAACATGTTGTATATAAACATAGAACAGTGTGGGGAACTGGATGAGGAGAAAGAACTCTCTGTACTGTCTTTACATCTTTCAACCTAAAATTAATCCAAAATATTTTAAAGAGGACATTTTGGGGTATAAATGGGGAAATCTGAATATGGAGCTATAACTCCAGCTATAAACTATACAGACTATTGATACTTGAGTATCATAACAGTATGGAGGGATGGCAGAGATCTTCCTGTAACAGAGAAATGCTGAAGTAGTTATGGATGATGTGTGAGGAAGTCTTGCAGTGTCATTTTAAATTGCTCAGGAAAAAGTTATACTCATATTTTAAATAAATCATACAAACATACATATGCACATCAGCTATACATGTATACCTATTATATAACATATAGACATACATGTGTTACTTCTGTACACACATACAGCAAGCAAGAGCATGAGCATGCAAGAACCAACGCAAATTAAGCAAAATGTTGACAAATTAATACCTGGTGACTCACAGGGAATCTGTGTTCACTATTACCTTTGCAACTTGTGAGGATTTGAAATTTTTCAGAATGAACAGTAGGGAAAAAAATATACTTCAATAAAGAAAGTATTTCCTTGGAAGTATGATGAAAACTTATTTAGCAAAAGTTTATTTTCTTTCTTTTATAGGAGTTATATTATCCTGCAATATTTCACTTTATGTTGTAAAAATTTCTTCCCGCAATTCTTCAGCCAAACACTCTGGAGACTGGATAAGTAAAAACTTTGATGGTGAACCATTTTTAAAATTAATGTCATGCTGAAGCTCAGGATTAAAGTCTAAATTGCTGCTTAGAAAAATTATCCATTCTAAGTAGGTCAAAAGAAGCTAATTCTTATTATATAATTCTTATTATTTTCCTTCCTAAAATGGAAGCTATACTTGCCCCTCTGCAATGCATTTAACTGGTACATCCTACAAATACAAAAATGAAAAGTAATGCTATGTATGTGAAACAGAGAAAGAACAAACATAACCATAGAAAACACATTCTTGGCTAGATGGCTTTACCAGCAAACTCTCTAACATTTTCAAATGTAGTGTAAGGCTCACAAATCTCACAAAGGTAGCACTAAAACAGAATATTACAAACTAATCTCATTTATACACATAAGATTTCAGCCAAAGCCAACACGTAATAATCTATTTAACCAATATGTTCTACTTTGTCCTAAGCTTCAAGGATAGAGCAAAACACAAAAATCTGAAGTAAAAATGACATCTCATGACTAGAGACTGCAATAACCCATACCTAAGATTTTATACACGTTAGACAATCTATACATATATATTAAGTTAATGGAATTGAACAAAGTTTGGCAGGGTTGCTAAAAACAAAATGAATACACAAAAATATACTTCATTCTACTTGTCAACAATAAAGAGAAAATGACATATTTTAAGGTACCATTTAAAACACCACTAAAATACGAAGTACTTGGAATAAATCTAGCACAAGAGAAGACCTTTACAAAGAGAATTATAAAAAAGACACTAAGGAAGACTTAAACAGAGTTTCACTGCAATCAGAGTCAAAATCCCAGTAGAATTTTCTTCTATGGAACTTGACAAGCTGATTCTAACTTTACACAGAATGAGTAAGACCAAGAACGCTGAAGACATAAGTTAGAAAGGAAATGCCATGCCAGATACTAAGACTTAACAGTGACTAACACAGTGGTACTGTAGATGGAGACACAGACAAATAGCCCAAATCTACTTAACAGAAGGAAATCTACTTAAAATACAGGAAGCAACAGATCAGAGAACAGGTTAATATGAAAGTATAGTTACTTGCAGAAAATATACTGGATACTTAGAAAAGTGAATACTTTACTCTCTGGAGGGGTTTCAAACAGACAAGTGATATAAACAAGTAAGTTCTTTAAAAAGAAAATATTTTAAAAGCACATTCAGAAGAGTAGAGAAAAAGGGACTGCAGAAAGAAAAGACTCGAGAGTGTAGGGGTGACGAGCTAAATGCTGTCACAGCAATCTCAGCAGAGGGGGCTGGTGGCCTGCATGGAAGCAGTAATGTGTGAAGGGATAGACGCTCACAGACTGGGAGGTTAGGGGGTGGGGTGGGGTGGGGGGGGCACCATTGCCCAGGCCTTCAAGAGGCCAGGAGCCTCAGGATTTTGAGCTGGCATTGAGGCTGGGGCCACTGCCCCAGGTCAGCAGCTTTGGGGCGAGGCAGATGCCAGCACCCATCATCGATGGTGCACACGCTGAATGAGGCCTGAGATGACGACACTGCTACTTTCACCACCAGGAATCCAAATCATGGAAAACTTACCTGTTTTTGTCAAATGATGTCCTAGCCAATCGGGACTGCAAGATAGCTGTTATCTGTTAAGAGAATCATTTTAAAAATATGGCTGTAAGTATCTGTAAGTGACACATCAATGCAGGTTCATTCACAACAAAGACACAGGTCTTTAGAAACTCACCATGGCAGTTTGGTCCCCCAGTTTATCCAGACAGGATGCTCTATGAAGCTACGAGTACAGAAATATACATGGATTTATTTCTCTCTCTGATGATAAGAAGATAGTTCCTTAGAAGCAATGAAACACAACCACCATTCTGTTACTCGGTAACAGCTAAGAGCCATTCCAAAACATCTATGACTTCTTCCTAATGTAGAGTTTTCAAGTTCAACACCTTCAAGTAAATCTGATTCAGATTTATAGAAGAGTTTATGGCTTTGGTGAGATGTATGAATATGAAATTCTTTTTTAAGAAGTTTGCCAGTGAATGTCTGAGAAGAGCCCTGACTTACCTGAAGCAGTGTCTCCACAACATCTTCCACTTTCCCTGAAACATCCAGCTCGAAGACATACTCCATCGTGCCCTAAAAAAGAGGAAGATGAACTGAACCAGAGGAGAACAAGCACATCAGGACCTATCACTTTAAGAATATTTGCAACCCCTGCTGATGTGTGCAGGGAACTCCCTCAGCCCACCTGAGAGATTTACTTCTATATTTACTCTTTCCTTCCTTCCACTGACTTTGGACTTAGTTTGCTCTTTTTTCTAGTTCCTTGAGGTATCTAGTTAGGTTTTTAAGTTTGAGATCTTTCTCTTTTCTTAAGGTAAGTGTTTAACACTCTAAACTTCCTTCTTAGGATTGCTTTTGCAGCATCCCAGGAGTTTAGGTATGTTTTCGTTTTGATCACCTTGAAGTATTTTTAAATTTCCCTTTTTATTTATTCTTTGACCCACTGTTTGCACAAGAAGGTTGTTTAATTTCCACATACGTACAAATCTTCCTGCTGCTATGGATTTCTGGTTTCACTCCATGGTGACTATTAAAGATACTTGGACTGACATCAGTCTCATTAGATTTATTGACTTGTTCTGTGACCTGATGTGTGATCTGTCCTGGAGAATGTCCCCTGTGCACGCGAGAAGAGCATGTCCTACAGTCATTGGGCAGGATGTTCCGCACGTGTCTATGAAGCCCATCTGGTTAGAGTACTGGTTGAGTCCTGCTTCCCGAGTGACCTGCTGCATGGATGATCTGCCTATTATTGAAGGTGTTCCGTGCATCTGAACCCTTCAGTCTCTCCCTTCAGTCCTGTCAGTGCCGGCTTCACACACTCAGGTGCTCTGAGGCTGGGTGTGTGTGTGTTGTGATGGTTACTTTTTGTGTGTCACAAGCTGTGCTCCTCTCTTCCCCACGAGGGTGAGTCTGCTGGGCTGCAGCTGCCTGTGTCTCTGGTTCAAAGTCCCCTGGAGCACTGCACAAGCCCAGCTCTTTCCTGTTTGGGGGGGAGGGTCCCCAGACATCTAGAGCATCATGGGTCCTGTCAGAGCTCCAGGACAGGTGAGAAGATGGGAACTGGGCATTCCCTCCAATCGCGTGCCCTGTGCCAGGGGAGGACTGTGGTGAGAGGATGCTCCAACGTTCCTGCATCTTCAGTGTGGCTCACTTTACGCTCACCTGGGCACAGGGCGCTCTGAACTGGTACCTGGATTTCTCACAAAGGGAATTCATCCATGTACTATTTCTGAATCAGTCTCCCCATCAGAGGAATGAGGGTCTTCCCAGTCTATCATCTCTCATCACCATTGTCTATGTCATCATTCCCTCCCTTAAACCTGAGAATCCTCTGGTGTCCTAATTCACACTGGAACAAAAGAGCTTTTCTTTGCTTCAGAAAACCTGACCCACTTCCTCTAACGTCACTTTTCAGCAGATTTGTACTTCGAGTGGGCGTCAGGAGAACCTCTGCAGTGAGGGTGCAAAGACCAGGGGCTCTCAGCTTGGAGGGGGATGGTCCTGCCATCCCTGCAGGGCATTTGTCAACATGTGGAGGCGCCACACAACAGGGGACAGTGCGGGGCGGGGGCGGGCACTCAGCGGGTGGAGCATCCTGTAACATAAGGGACAGCCCTCCCAGTGAAGAAGCGTCCTTCCCGGACGCCAACAGCACCGCCTGTGAGTAACAAGGCCTCAGAACTCACTGCTCCTGACCGACCGGTGTGCACAGATGTCTCCTGCACACAAAGCCTCGAGGTGGCTACTGGTGGCCACTGTGTCCCAGCTGCTGCCAAGGACTCGCAGGCCAGGCCGGCCTGTGACCAGGACTGCCATCCAGCCTGCAGGGGTCTGCTCAGAGGAGGGGCTTTTCACAATTCAGAGGAGTCATGACAGGAGCACTAGGCCCACCTCCAGGTCCTGTAAGGTCTCTGCTAGGAGTTACCCCTCTACTACATGCTAAGCTGCAGCGCGGGCCTGTGCTCAGGCTCCTCCGTCCACGGGATTCTCCAGGCAAGAATACTGGCGTGGGTTGCCATTTCCTCCTTCAGGGGATCTTCCTCACCCAGGGAGGGAACCCTGGCAGGCGGGTTCTTTACCACTGAGCCACTTCAGAAGTCACAGCATTAAGTAAAGTACAGAGTGGCTGGATGTGATGTCTAGTTACGAGTCCTGTGTTCCTGGTCCTTCAGAGCTTCTACCCAATTAGGAGAACTTATACACTTATTACTGAGCTATTAAGTAAGGGTATTTTATAACCTATAAATATTTCTGTAACATTTAAAAGAAGTCCTCAGTGATACCCAGTAAATATGATGCATCTTCTGATTTTGACTTCTAACCTACTAATTTAAGCCTTTCCCCCCACTAATAGACCCACTGATTTTTAAGCTAAAAAGTTAACTGAAATCTTTTGAAATGAAGTCTGTGGCTCCCTTGGATAATTTTGTTATAACTTCTAAGTACCAAGCCTTTCAGTTCAGTCGCTCAGTCATGTCCGACTCTTTGCAACCCCATGAATTGCAGCATGCCAGGCCTCCCTGTCCATCACCAAATCCCAGAGTTTACTCAAACTCGTGCCCATTGAGTCGGTGATGCCATCCAGCCATCTCATCCTCTGTCGTCCCCTTCTCCTCCTGCTCCCAATCCCTCCCAGCATCAGGGTCTTTTCCAGTGAGTCAGCTCTTCGCATGAGGTGGACAAAGTATTGGAGTTTCAGCTTCAGCATCAGTCCTTCCAATGAATACCCAGGACTGATCTCCTTTAGGATGGACTGGTTGGATCTCCTTGCAGTCCAAGCCTTTACACTTGATCTTAGCCAAAAGGCCAAGAAGCGATAGTCCAAGCCTTTAATACCTGTTATCATTATACTGCATCAAAGAAGTTAACACAGACACAGAACCTTATGGCTCAAAATCACTATGGAAATTGTTGGGGATGAAGGAAAAACCTTACTTACCCTTTCTATTTTATACGGTGCAACAATGTTGTGTTCTTTAATGAAATACACCTGAAAAAGACAAATCAATACTTGTGAAATAATTAAATGTTGTCAGTGATAAGCTGATGGATGTTATGAATCAAATTTAAATCATTGTTATTTAATCTCTATTTCCAAAATCACTTGCATTAATATTAGAATGGCTTTAAAGTTCTGATGTTAAAATAACAAACATTAAATTAAAGTGAGATTCATCGAGGAAACAAGGTAGCAAGCACTGTAGGATCCATACGATGTCTAAGATGGCTTGTCAATGTCATCACTTGTGCCCAGTAACCAGACAGGTGAAGGATGCTAACCTAAGTGCTCATTGTCTAAGAAATGATTAAGACAGTCACTGTGGTATGAAATCCATTCATCAACATAGAGAAATCACTCTTCTCTAGAGGTGCAGTTTTTACATGCACCAGGCCACTTGTCCTCACATGGGACACTAGCAACCACATATCTCACACCCCCCACCCCCCACCCCCGCCCCAGAGCATCAACCTCCTCGCACGTGCACCCTAATCCTGCCCTCCCTCCAGTTACAACAGAAAGTCTGCCTCCCCCACATCTGTCACCGGTTCAAAAACATAGCTCCTACGATCACACGATGTGCTTTTACCCATTTAAAACAAACTACAGATAAAAAAAACTGCTCCTTTGTTCTCACATCATTTTATCCCTTTTCTGTTCCTTTTAGTGGCAAAACTCTTTGCCAGAGCTGATGTACTTTCCAGGGCCCAAATCAGGTTTTCCTCCGATCCGTGTTACTGCAGCCATTCCTGACGAGGTCAGTGAGGACGCACAAGGTCACTGTTCTCAGGACTTGGATTCTGTCTCAGATGCAACACAGCCGGGGGCTCTTCGTGGAGCAGGTTTCTAGCCGGCTGCCCAGCACCTGCTCCAGGAGCTCCCGACCTCACCAGCTGCTTCCTCCACCTTCCCCAGGCCCCTGCTTTCCTCCCAACCTCTCGTGTTCAAGGGCGGCAGGGCCTCAGTTCCCAGAAACCTCACCCAGCCCCGGGGCCTACCAAGCATCTGCAAACGGTGGCTCCTCAGCCTGTCATTCCAGGCCCAGCCTCCTCCTGAAGCGCAGAGGCCTCCAGACGTCAGCGGCTCCTCCTCCCGGTCACGGTCTATGCAAAGCCTGCTCCCACATCTAACCTCACCACTAACCCAGCAGCACCTCGGTCAGGTTCTCTTCAGAGCACCCCGGACACCGGCCGCTCTCACCCTTCTGCAGCCGCCAGCCCGGGCCACACACCTAAGTCAGCACCCCGAGATGCCTGGTGCCCCCTGCTGTCCCAGGCGCTGGAGAGGCCCACAGTCAGAGACAAATCAGCCCGGGGCCCTTCTCGGCGCGGCGTGCGCCACTGCGACGCTATGGCAGCTCGTGCATGCCTTCTCACGTTCTGGCCTCTGTCCTGGTTCACCTTCCTCATGGCGTCTGTCTCTGCCTGATGTCAGAGAAGACATCTGCTCGCTGTCCGCTGCCCCACTGAGAGGTAAAGTTCCTGGAGAGAGGGGGGCTTCAAATATTTTGTTCTTCTCTTTGTCTCCCTCCTCTCTCCGGCTTCCCTGCTGGCTCTGAGGGTAAAGCGTCTGCCTGCAATGCGGGAGAACTGGGTTCAGTCCCCAGGTCGGGAAGATCCCCTGGAGAAGGAAAGGGCAACCCACGCCAATACTCTTGCCTGGAAAATCCCATGGACAGAGGAGCCTGGCAGGCTGCAGTCCATGGGATCGCAAAGGGTCACACATGACTGAGCAACTTCACTTCTATCTCTAAAGCCTTGACTGTGATACTTACAGGATGCGTGAAAAAAGTGAAAAGTGTTAGTCGTTCAGTCCTATCTGATTCTTTATGACCCCATGGACTGTAACCTCCCAGGTTCCTATGTCCATGGAATTTTCCAGGCAAGAATACTGGAGTGGGTTGGATGTCCTTCTCTTGGGGATATTCCCGACCCTGGGACTAAACCCAGGTCTTCTGCATTGCAGGCAGATTCTTTACCATCCGAGTCACTGCGGAAGCCCAGGATGCCTGAGTACTATTATTCACATTCACATTCACATTCACATTCACATTCACATTCACACACACACACACACACACACACACACACACACCCCTTCTTTATTTTACCAGCAAAAGAATACATGGAAGCAAAGCTCTCTAAAGCCCAAAGAACCATAACATATTTCTAAAGCACTGTCACCTGATAAGTAAGCAAAAACAACACAACAACACACACACATTTTGTTTCTTGGTTGTGCAGTTAACCCAGGAAACTTAATACTTGAAAGAGTAGCTTATGTCTGGTTGCCCCTTGATATAATATAGCTGATTTTGAGCTTGATATGAGACATCTTACACAAACTATTGAAAGGGAATAGAAAGATTTTACTTCTAGGTTTATTGAAATTATATTAAAATGGATACTTTTATAATAGAAACCACACTTCCAATTTAAAACCTACCTGCTCCTTTCAAGATATGGACTTTCCAGAATAAAGCCACAGTATAGAATGATACTGTAGTAATAATGAGAATACAGCTGTGGGCCAGAATTATCAATAATGGTGTTCCTTCCCCAAAATAAGAGATGGTGGTAACTGCTTTCATTTATGCCAGGTCAAAATTAACAGACATTCTAAAATTAATAGAACCATGGAAGGCAGACCTAGAACATCATGTACCCTGATATCTCTCAGCTTTTATAAAATAATTTTCAATACACATTAAGAAAGGGCCATGAACAAGAGGGCTGTGTGATCTGAAAACCACCGGGAGGCTCTCTGTTCCAGACTATTCACCCCATGAGACTCAAGGCTTTGAGTAAAGTCCTGAAGTGAAGAAACCTCTATATCTGTTTCCCATGGCTTTTCCTACATTTCACAGAAAGATACTTTTCTTTGAACACTTCAAGGATCTGGGGCTCTGCAGAGGGGAGGCAACCCTGATCTCCTCTCTCCCTTCCATTTTCAAGGTGAAGAAGGTGAGATTCACAGCAAAAAGACAGGGCTAATGGGCTTCCCAGGTGGCTCAGTGGTAAAGAATCCACCTGCCAATGCAGGAGATCCCTGGGCTGGGAAGATCCCCAGAGAAGGAAATGGCAACGCACTCCAGTATTCTTGCCTAGAGAATCCCAAGGGCAGAGGAGCCTGGTGGCCTGCCATCTATGGGGTCACCAAGAGGCGGACACGACTTAGCGACTAAACAACAAAAATGGGCTCTACTCTCAAAAACTTTTAAAGATCCACAGGTGAATTAAGTACAGCTGACCCCTGAACAATATGGGCATGAACCACATGGGTCCACTTACATGTGGACTGTTTTCAATAAATACATTGGAAAATTCTGTGGAGATATCAGACAATTGGAAAAAAGATGAACTGAATAGCCTAGAAATATCAGAAAAATTAAGACATAAGTATGTCATGAGTACATACAAATGTATGTAGATACTAGTATATCATATGATTTACAACCATAAAACATACATGAATTATAAAAAGTTAATTTTTTTTTATCACAACTCAATGTGCAAACTTCCAGACCAGACGTGGCACCAACTGGAGAGAAAATGTAAATAACTATATAGAGATGCAGTGTGAAGTCACAGCGCTCCCTCACGGCAGCTCACACTGTACCACGGCCATAGCTTCCTAGCCACCCCCTATGCTGAGAACAAGTGTTGAGAGCAACCTCAAAAGGCCACAGGATACTATTCATCCCCCTGTGAACAGCCATCTCTACAGTAAACTGTGCATGGCAGTGAAAAGTGGTTTCTCCTGGTTCTTGTGCATCTTTCATCGTGTTCAGCATCAGATCGTAAACCTTGAATAACACCACGGGACCCACACGAAGTGCCACTGGTGATGCTGGCAGTGCTCCAGAGAAACAGAGAAAAGTCATGACACTACAAGCAACAGCGGAACTGCTCGATGTATACCGCTGATTGAGCTGAGGTCCACAGCTGTGGCTGCCACAGTGTCAAGATAAATGGATCCTGCATTAAGGACCATTGTGGAAAGGAAAAGGAAATTCATGAAGCAGTCACGCAGCTACCCTGCAGGCAGGAGAACCTGGCTCTTTCTGTGAAATACTTCTTTATCTCATGTTGAAAATGCAGCTTTTATGTGGGTGCAGGATTGCTGTAAGAAAGCCACACCTATAGATGAATATGAAGTCATCACATGACCACTTAAAGTCAAAGGAAGGTGAAGGAGCTAAAGCTGGAGAACTTAATGCCAGCAAAGGATGGTTTGATAATTTTAGAAAGAGGTTTGGCTTTAAAAATGTCAAGATAAGAGGAAAAGCAGCTTCTGCCAACCAAGAGGCAGCAGATGAGCTCCCAGACAGCACAAGAAATATTTGAGGAGAAAACAGTATCTGCCTGGACAGGTTTTTACTGCAGATAAAGTGCCCTCTTCTGGGGGTGGGTGGGGTGGGTGAGCAGGGAATCCACAAAGGACATTCATTAGGAAGGAAGAGAAGTGAGGACCAGGAGTTAATATGGCAGGCTGAGATACGCTAAGCCGGCTGTTTTGCACAAGTGCAGTGGAGTTGATGACCAGGACTGCCCTGATCTATAAAGCTGCTGACCTCTAGCCTTGAAGAGAAGAGATGCCCACAGCTGCCGTCTTTAGGATGCACAGCAGGAGGGCCTAGACAGCAAGAACGCTTTTCCTGGATTGGTTCCACTGATACTTTGTCCCATTGATGCAGCCAGGAAGTATTTTGCCAGTAAGGGACTACTCTTTAACATTTTTTTTTTAAATTGGACAATACCCCGGCCACCTAGAACCATGAGTTCAACACCAAAGCTGTCAAAGTGGTCTACTTGCCCCAAAACACAGTGTCTTTAATTGAGACTCGAGATCAAGGGGTCATAAGAACCTTTAAGGTTGAGTGCACATGGTACTCTCCATAGAAAGGGCTGTCAGTGCTGTGGAAGAGAATGCCGATAGCCAGAACATCATAAGTCTGTAAGGACCGCACCACTGAAGATGCCAAGGTTGTTACAGAAGAAGCCATGAAAGCCATCAAGCTGAAAACCATACATTCCTGTGAGAGAAAACTGTTCAGATGCTGCACATGACCACTCAGCATTTATTACAGAGCCAATCAGATTATGGATATGGCCAAAAAAGTAGGGGGCTGAAACATTTCAAGACATGGATCTCAGAGAAATTCAAGGACTAATGGACACCGCGCCAGAGGAGAGAAGAGAGGACAGCCTGATGCGGATAAGTGCTCCCAGACCAGAGCCGGATGTCAAGGGAGGAGATGCAGTGCCGGATAATAAACTGACGTTAGACAACCGAGCAGAAGCTTCTGGTTTTTTATTTTTTCCTGCTTTTTGGCTTCTTTTACAACATGGACCCTTCTACGACACAGGCGCTGAAACTAAAGCAAAGTGAGGAAGAAGGATGGGTGTGTATAGTAACATTTTTAGAGAAATAAAAAAGCAGAAAAAGAAATTATGATGTATTTCTGTAAATTTAAACTAAATGTGTCTGCCTTTCTTGCACCCCCCACCCACCCACCTCCTCCACCCCTTCCTCCTCTGCCCCCTGAGACAGCAAGATCAAACCCTGCCTTCCTCCTCCTGCTCAGCATGAAGACAAACGACAAGGATGAAGACCTCTGTGACGATCCATTTCTACTTAATGACTAGCAAACAGTCACCCTGCTATGCAGTTACTCACTTGTAAACAGATGACAAACTTACAGTATTGATAAACCCAGTACATACTGCAAACGTGCTTACTCTTCCTTATAATTTTCTTAATAACCTTTTTTCTCTAACTCACTGTATTGTATGACTACAAATACAATACATACAACATACAAAATGCATTAATCAACCATTTACGGTCCCCTAGAGGAGGAAATGGCAACCCACTCCAGTAGTCTTGCCTGAAAAATCCCATGGACAGAGGAGCCTGGTGGGCTATTGTCCATGGGGTCACAAAGAGTGGTACGCGACTTAAGCACATGTCATCAGTAATGCACCATTAGGCTATTCATAGTAGTTAAGCTTGGGGGGAGTCAAAAGTTATACATGAATTTTTAGCTGTGTTGGAGGTTGTCAGTGACCTGAACTTTTGCTTTGCTCAAGGGTCAGGCGTGTATGTCAGGAGAAAAAACATGTTCTAATTTATCTCTGTACAGCCAGTGTCAACACAGTGCTGGATGCAAAAATCTATACTGAGTAAAGGTGAAATGAATAAAAAGTCACGACTCCAAGCTTTATAATTAGACAAGGCTACACAACCCGAGTCACGCCTGGGCTGCCATCACGAGTCAACTTGAGCTCATTGAAGCGGTAGGCGCTGGCCTCCCACCTCCTAAACGGTGACGAGGCTACAGGAGAACCTGTAAGTCCATTACGTCAAACCTCATACACTGTCAGGACCTCCTAAGGGTGAACCCATAGCGGGCAGGTAACACACACACTCACCTACCTACCTGAGGAAGGTTAAGGATCTCAGCAGGGATCACACTTTTTAAAACATATTTCCCAGTGGCTAAATTTTAAAAGAATTTAAACATCTTTTCCAGCGGTCTTCATTGGAGACTTGTACAAACAATTTCATTATTCTAAAAAAAAGTGTGTATATGGAAGCCCATACACACACACACATAAATATATAATGTATGTATGTATTCATTTAAATGTTCATTCAGGTTAGAAAAAATATTAACTAGGTGCTCCTTACCTGGCTGAAAATGAGTGAAATCGCCCCAGATACTGTCCTAAAAATGCAGATAAAAGTCATTAAATATATAGTTTTTTGGTAGAAGTAAAGTCAAACAGTTGTGACAGTGACATACTTTGCAAAGTGTCTATTGGCTTCATTTTCTCCATGTTTTCCTATTTTTATACAATCCCTCAAAGGAATCTGTATAAAATTGAGAGAGAGAAATGTTATAAAATAAGACAAGGTAAAATGTACACAAATATAGGGCTATTTCTCTTCACATTGAAAGTATGTTTACCTTAATGATGGGTTGGGATATTGCATCTGGTTCAAAAATAACTGATTTTGAACATATTTTTAAGGAGCCTCTGATTTTCCTAGAGATAAAGTACAAAGGAATATTATTAATGAACATAACAGAAGTCACAGAAGAATCATAACCCATTTTAACTAGCATGTAGATGACTAAAAGCATCAACTAATAAAAGATCAAAGACAAAGGTATGAAAGGTTAGACAACATAGCAAAATAATTATCCTCATCTCCTAAAAAAATAACCCTGAATATTCACTGGAAGGACTGATGCTGAAGTTCCAATACTTTGGCCACCAGATATGAAGAGCCTACTCCCCGGAAAAGACTGTGATGCTGGGAAAGATTGAAGGCAAAAGGAGAAGCGGGCAGCAAAGGGTGGTTAGATGGCATCACCGACTCAGTGGGTAGGAATGTGAGCAGACTCTGGGGGATAGTGGAGGACAGAAGAGGTCACTGTGGTACATAACAGTCCATGAGGTTGCCCAGAGTTGGACATGACTTAGCAACTAAGCAACAACCATCACCTCCTCCCTGTAGGTTAAAGAAACTCCACGTGTTGTAATACAGTCTCACTGGTTGAGAACTGTCCCGGGTATTTTACTCATTATCACTTCACTTGGTCCTCACAACTACGGGCAGTTTTCTGATCCTTAAGAAACACAGATTCCATCCTGTCTGTGGTTAATTCTTTTGACTTTGAATTTCCTACATCTTAAACACCTATTCAGAAGACCATACTGTAATCCTACTCCTTTTTAAACCTGACATTGATTAGGTAAGGGATTTTTTCCTTATTTATAATCATGAAAAAATAACAGTTTGAATTTAGCACATGCTAAATTTAGCAATGCTTTTAGTGGTGATTCTGGGGTACATAGGAATTCAGGGCAAAATTGCTTCTATGAGAATAAGCAATTTTAAACAGGATCTACCTACTACTATAATACCAAATACATCAGCTGTCGACCATTTTTCTCCTTTCCTGGAACATGGATAGGGCTCCAGTGAGTCTGGGGGGATGCCTGCCTGAGCATGCTAGAGGCCAGTGTGCCTCACTAGCCTGAAGCCAATAAAAAGCTACACTTCATTGTCTTTTATTGACTGAATGACTTTTATTAATGATCAGACCAAGGCAATAACTTATTATGTAATCAGAACACAGGTTAAGAAATGATGGGAAAAAAGAAACCTTTTAAAAAAATCATCTTATTTTCCAAGACTATATTTTTTCTACAAGGAAAGCTCCATGGGTTGTTGTTTTTTTTTTTTTAATTACTTGTATGACATTTGGGCTTTTCCTCCAGCCATTCCTTGGTGTCCTAGTGAACCCTTCTCACTCAGCCCATCCCAGGGTCTCTTAATTGAAGCAATTATTTTACTTGGATTTTAGAAAGACCCACCTGCTCTCCCTGTCCCTGTGTCCCCTCCCTGAGTCAATTATTCTACCAAACACTCTCACATTCTTCCTGGCTTACAAAAATGCCAATGGCTTCCTAGCCCACAGGATAAAGCCCAATCATAATCTGAGAAAGGCCTGCCTCTGTGTACACATGTATATGTAACCAAATGGATGAGAAGGCTCATGGTAAAGGCCATGATACAGTCTGCAATTCTTCTTCCTCAAAGGATCTTTTTAAATGTTGATTTTTATATCGTTTTCTCCATGCTGTTAACTGCATTTACTTCTCTAACACCCTAAATTACCTAATAACAACTTAAGTACTTTTAAGGCAAAAGTTAAAGAAATGCAAATAGAACAGAAAACTCCCAAGTACCAATCCACTAGGTTTCTGCAGCTGTTAAGATACAGTCATTCCTGTTTTGTGTCTAACACCCCAGAACCCTACTGGATTTTAGATAAATTCCCAGACCTCCTATACATCATCTGCTGTGTTGCACTCAGTCACATCGCCTCTTTGTGACCCCATGGACTGTAGCCCACCAGGTTCCCCTGTCCATTGGATTCTCCAGGCAAGAATACTGGAGTGGGTTGCCATTTCCTTCTCCAATACTTCGTCTAAACATACTTTAACATGAATCTCTCAAGTCCTTCAATAAATGACCATCATTACATATCTACAAAAAATAATTCCTTAATGTCATCTGGGATAAAGCCAGGGTTCAAATATATTTCATAACTGTTTTTTATAGTTGGTTTGTTCAAAGCCCACATTTCCTTTAGCCGATATGTCTCCTAATATCTCTTAATCTAAGACAGTGTTCATTTCCCCACTTTAAGGACTTTGCTAAACTCGTCTCTGTGGTTTTCATCTATCCCACTTCCTTTATGTCAGAGGCAGTGCACATGTACTGCCCTCATATCAGGAGGCCCTAATGGGTTTAATGCACCTTGACACGTGCATTAAAATATTTCTCAGCAGCTTTTCACCTGCTGGTTTAGCAGCCACTGAGGAGTATGTCTAGATCAGGGGTTAGCAAACTTTTTCAGTAAAGAGCCAGAGAGCAACTATTTTTTACTTTGTGGGCCATTTGGTATCTCTCTATTCAGCTCTATTTCCCTGTTGTTGCAGAAAACCAACCAGATACAAGATGTAAACAAGTGGGCGTGACTGCATTCCAATAAAACTTTATTTAAAAAAACAAGTGGCAGCCAGATATGACCATAGTCTGTCGATCCCTGATTCACTAGGGATTGAAATTTTTTGGGGGGGCGGGGGGGGATTGAAATTTTTAACAATCCTTCAGTGTTTGCTATCTAGAATTTATCAACAAAGAACAGCTTTAATTATCTATGATTTGGTCACCCTGAAGTACAATTTGTATAAGGAAAGCAGGAAAAATGCTTGATCTTTTTATCAAGTTTTAGAAAAAGGAGTCGGTGTTCTACAATCCTTTGAAGGTAAATGATACACACACACATATATATGTATGAAATTATTTATATTACACATATATAATATAAATAATATGTATGAAATTATATATTATATGTATATATTATATGTATATTTATATGTATATTTATATGTATGAAATTATTTATATTATATATATATCATTATGAACTCATGGAGTTGAGCTCCTCTGGTACATTTCAATCCCCTATAGTCATTCTTTTTTAATGCTCAATCTGCTCCATTTTTTTTTTTTTTGCCCAACTTTTCAGGATGGCCTTGTGCCCTTTTAATTCAGTATGCAATCGTTTTTTGATACTTTTCCTTACCTGCCAGGATAACAAGATGTACCAGGCTCGCCTCCCTCACATTTCCTGCCCCTCACTTAGACTCAGGCACTTCCCCAAAGAGCCCTCATTCCTTTTACTGGAGAGAGGCATTCACAGGGTAGCTCACTGCTACTGAGCCACTTCTAGGTCTTTTCAGAAGGCAGAGCTAGAAACTACTTTCTTTTAAAAGAAAAGCATATGACTCCATATAAGCATTACCAATTCAAATCAAAGATCCCAAGGTTTTTACTTAACTCCTTTAATATTATAACTATATCTCCTTTATACTGAAAATCTTGATCTTGGCACTTTGCTTTATCTAACTGTATAAAACTGTGTGCATAAAACAGTTCCAAAATAATACAAAAATACTTAATATTACTAAACACTTTACAACTTTTTTTGCAATTTGTCCTCAACTGAAAATATATTTCACCAGAGACACAAATTATCGTGTTGTGAAGTTGATTAAAACAATTCTTTTCTGTGATTAATCCTCCAGCTTTATATATAGTTAGGTTCATTTGTTTCATTTTCAATTTTTAGAATTTTCTGCTTCTCCTGAAATTTAATAAAGAAATAAATTCTATATTGCATATAAATATTCCTATGGTTCCAAAAACAGAGCTATAAAAAAAGGTACATTCAGAGTAGTCTAGCTGTCATCTTGGTATTATCCCCTGATCCCTCCTTTTTCTATGTAGATAACCATTTCCATTAGGTTTTCACTTATGCTTTAAAATATATATATTTAACTTTTAAAAATATAATCAACATAACTTCCCCATTCTTATATGAAAGATGGCATCCAACACAAAATATTCTTCCCTTGCATTTTTCACTTAATATGTGTTGGAGAAAAATCTACAGTGACACACAGAACTTCTTCATTCCTTTGTTAATAAATAATACTCCGGCATGTGGTCATTCTATAAGTTATTCAGTCACCCACTAAACTGTTTCCAGCATCTTGCTATTACAAGTAGTACTACAATAAATAATCTAGTACATGTGTCCATCTGTACACTTTCTAGTGCCTCTCTGCATCTCTGAGGTAGTTTCCTACAAGTAGCATTGCTAGATCAATAGGATAATGTACATGCAATCTTGCTAAATATTACCAAATTCACTTCCATGGAACTGTACTATTTCAACTTAATAATAACTTGAAAATTACAAAAACAGGTTTCAGTTTGCTTGCTTACATTTGTGCTTCAATAATGTACCAATGTATTCAACTTTAAGCAGGACATTATTATGACAGAGAGCAGAGGAGCATTGGGAGAATAAAAGGTATGAAATTAGAGAAAAAAATATGTTGAAAATTCTAGAGGTAAAAAAGCAGGGTTCTACTTTCAATTAGAAAAATAATTATCTAATATGATTGAATGCCAAGGAAACAGATATGCCCAAATGTATCAAATAAAAAACTAAGTGAGTTTCATTTTGGCTTGTATTTAAACAAATACTACACAGTTTTGATTTAAACAAAAACTACACGAAGAATTAATGTTTTTGAACTGTGGTATTGGAGAAGACTCTTGAGAGTCCCTTGGACTGCAAGGAGATCCAACCAGTCAATCCTAAAGGAAATCAGTCCTGAATATTCATTGGAAGGACTGATGCTGAAGCTGAAACTCCAATACTTTGGCCACCTGATGTGAAGAACTGACTCATTGGAAAAGACCCTGATGCTGGGAAAGATTGAAGGCAGGAGGAGAAGGGGACGACAGAGGATGAGATGGTTGGATGGCATCATTGACTCATTGAGTAAACTCTGGGAGTTGGTATTGGACACGGAAGTCTGGCGTGCTGCAGTCCATGGGGTTGCAAAGAGTCGGACACGACTGAGCAACTGAACTGAACTGGACACGGTTTTGATTCTTTCAGGAATGAGGGATATTTCATTTTTAAAATGGTAAAAAGTGTTTATCTAATACCAAAGCATGTTCTAAATTGTAGCCCATAGTTGTTAAATGACAAGCCAAGAGAATTAACAGATACATTTTAGTTAATTCAAAGTTGGCATTTTAAACCAAAAAAAAAAAACCCCACAAAACTTCATTATATACTTTTGCACACAGTTTTCAAAGGGTGTGGCTAAAGACAACAGAAAAGTCTGTAAGTCTGCAGAGATCTGAAACTCCTCACCTTTCCTTCTGGCTGCCCTTGTGCTGAATGTGATGAGCCGTGTGCTGCTCAAAGTAGTACTCCTCCAAGTTAAGCAGGAGCAAGGAAAATCTACATTTGGGGAGAAAAAAAAAATGTCAGGTTAATTTTTTTAACATAGTAAGAAAGCAGAATATTTTACAATGTGTTCCCAAAGTGCTTTTCCATCTATTACTTCAAAAAATACTTATTAAGTGTGTATTATATGCCAGGTATGCCTCTCCATCCAGAAAGACCTGTCTAGCTATGCCAAAAATAAAACTGTTTTGTTGCTCAGTCACTAAGTCACGTCTGACTCTTTTCAATCCCATGGACTGTAGCCTACCAGGCTCCTCTCTCCATGGAATTTCCACAAGCAAGAATACTGGAGTGGGCTGCTATTTCCTTCTCCAAATTTGTTTACCAAGTGGATCTATTATTTCTTTACAGAAACTCCAAATTTCAAGAAACAAAGCTTGTTCCTGCCTGAACAAAGCTCGGAGCCTTCCCACCTACAGAGTTCTCGTCCTCTGTTCCCTGTGACTGCACCCTGGGCTTCTGTCCCACACACACCACTCCAGTGACATGGCTCAGGGGTGGGTGGGTGCCTCTTGCGACTCTCACAAGACCACAAGCCTCTGAGAGGTAGATCTTTAGATATTCCCCAGTACTCACTGGAAAAGACCCTGGTGCTGGGAAAGACTGAGGGCAGGAGAAGTAGGGGACGACAGAGGATGAGATGGTTGGACGGCATCACCGACTCAATGGACGCGAGTTTGAGCAAGCTCCGGGAGACAGTGAAGGTCAGGGAAGCCCAGCGTGCTGCAGTCCATGGGGTTGCAGAGTCGGACATGACTGAGCGACTCAACAACCAACCTATTGCTTGCACAATGACTGTGTCACAGGTAAGATAAGCAAGTTGAAACTGAATGGGATTGAAAATTAGTTCCCTTTAAAGTTTGAAGTGCTTTTTTAAAAACAAAGCATTAACAAAAAGTATTATTTAGCTGTATGGCCACAGAAACGAACACATGGCAAAGAACTGGAAGCAACGGTTTTGTTTTGTGGGAAGGACCCGGAAACACCAACGGCGCCCAGAGTTACAGGGAGAGACAGGTTTGCATGGAAACATGGCACTGGAGCTGGGTCTTGAAGTTCCTATGTAAGAAGGCAAGACATCTAGATTAAATTTGGCAGAACAGATCTCTAGATTAAATATGGCAGAAGAGAACCTAGATTAAATAAGTAGAATAGACCTCTAGATTAAATACAGCAGCATAAATATGTATGGTTTATTTCTGCTCCCTCTGGAAATAACAATACAATGTAAACAAAAGTATTTTTTAAATAGTAAAAAGCCATAGACTACAGAAAATTGGAGAGGCGTACAAGCAAGTGAGAGAGAACAGTAAGTTTGTGAGCAACAGACAGTGAAAGTGAACAGACAGTAGATGGAGGAATTAGCAGTGACCACAAACCAGAAGAGCTGATGCCGCCAGAGAAGGCACCAATCAGGAGAAAACCAGAAGTTCCACGACTGCGGGAATAAGGTAGCAAGAAGGCAGGGATGATGCCAAGGTGATGGTCAAAGTCCAAATGAGGCTAGTCACCCAGATTCCACCCCTGAAGTTCTCCCGACACAGTTTTTCAATAACAAAAGTAAAAAGGGGGCTTCAAACTAGACATCAAGCACAGTGCAGAGCATGAGGAGAAGGTGGTCACACAAAAATCAGGAAGACACATAACACTCCAAGTAGCAGTCTGGTGGATTATCTTTGGAAAAACCTAGTCCTAGAGAAAAGACCCAGGGCTACCAGCATTTGAAAGAACATCATCCCACACTGAAGCCCAGCCAAAGAGGCCTGCCCACAGGAATTACATGCTTCCCCCTTAAATATAAGACACCCCAAGATTACCAGCTTCCAGTGTGAAAGAAATAGACCAAGCAAGCAGAAGAACACAACTTGAAGGACTAGAAACGATGTACAGAAAAAAAAGGTCCAAAGATTTTAATTAATATCCTTATAAAGAAGAAATTATATCCATAAACCAAGATATGGCTCACTTTAAAATTCTGAACCAACAGAAAAATAACTCATAAACTAAAAATAATGACAGCGGGAACCAGCTCTACCATCACAACAGGCAACTTTTATTGGGCTGCTCTACACTGTAAAATCCATGAACAAGAATTAATCATAGCCTAAACTGCCAGAGCTCAGTGTAAAATGCTCACTATTAATACCTACTGTGAATTTCAATACAATCACAAAAGTTAGGATTGCTAGGAACATCCTTTGATGCATCAGGTAATTTCCAGGAAGGTATAAATCAGAGAGATAGTTACTAAGTACCCTGCCCCTTAATAAGCTGAAATGCTTTGCTTGGGCTGCAGCTAGGCAACCCTTCCTCCTTCTCCTTCACCTCCCCACTTCTCTTAGAGAGAGGGTAAAATAAAGTAAGTATTTGTCAATAAGACAATGGCATAATTTTGTTGCTGTGTAGCACAAGCAGCCTTCATAAACAGTCAGCTTTTCCATATAAATAAGATAGAATTGTATCTTTAATATTGCTAAAATGTCATATTAGCCAAATGTCTATACCAGCCAAAGCAATCTATATATTCAGTGTTATCCCTAGCAAACTCTCAGTGGCAATTACTGCAGAAATAGAAAAAAAAAAAAATCCTAAAATTCATACAGAATCAGAAAGCTAAAATAATTGAGAATAAAAAAACAAAGCTGGAAGTCTCACAGTTCCTGTATGAAAAGATATTACAAAGCTACAGTACTAAAACAATGTGGTGCTGACATGTAGACCAGAGGAACAGAGAGGAGAGCTCAGAAATACTCTCGTATTGATCGGGTCATCGACAAGGGACCAAGGTCACACAATAGGGAAAGAACTGTCTCCTCAACAAATGGAAATCTGGGTATTGACATACAAAACAACGATCCTGAACCTTTCATTATATATAAAAAAATCAACTCAAAATTAATTAAAGGCCCAATTTTAAGACCTGAAACTATAAAACTCCAGGAGAAAACCTAAGTGGAATGCTTCATGACACTGGATTTGGCAATCATTTCTCGGCTATGACACAGCAAGCACAAGAAAAGCAAAAATAGCTAAGTGTAACCACATCTGACTTCTGTGACATGGAAGCATGACTACTACTCTGCAGCAAAGAAAACAACCAACAAAGTGAGATGGAGGGATTTCCCTGTGGTCCAGTGGCTAAGACTCCATGCTCCCAATGCAGGGGGCCTGGATTCCATCCCCAGTCAGGGAACTAGATTCCACGTGCTGGAACCAAGACCCAGTGCAGCCAAATACTAACAAAGTGAAAAGGCAACCTACAAAACTGGAGAAAATATTTGCAAACCATATATCTCATAACGAGTTAATATTGAGAACATATAAAGAACTCCTACAACTCAGCAAAAATTAAACTAAAAAATGGGCAAAGGTCCTAAATAGACACTTGTCCAGAGAAGATATGCAAATAGCCAGAAGGTGTATAAAAAAGATATTGAACATCACTAATCATCATGACACTGCAAATCAAAATCTCATACACTATTACAAAATAACAAACATTGGTGAGGATGTGGAGAAATTGCTGGTGGAATTGTGAAATGATGCAGCTGCTATGGAAAACAGTACAGAGGTTCCTCAAAAAATTAAAGATAGAATGATCATGTTCAGGATCCCTCTGGTGGGCAGATGAGTCCTATCCTCCCTCACAGCCTCACGGATTCATGCATCTCTCACCACCTGCTTCTTTGTTGTTGTTTAGTCACTCAGTTCTGTCCGACTCTTTGTGACCCCACAGACTGAGGAGCCCACCAGGCTCCTCTGTCCGTGGAGTTTCCCAGCCAAGAACACTGGAGTGGGTTGCCACTTCCTTCTCCACCTGATTCTTTAGCTACTCTTTAGTCCTTCCAAGTCATCTAATTGCTCTAACAACCAGGGTATGTTTATTGACTCCTGTTAATTAAAAGGCTTGGCTTCTAATGCTCCATGCCTAGAGCCAGAATCAAAAGCACAATGAGGTATCACCTCACGTGGCTCAGAATGGCCATCATCAAAAAGTCTACACACAACAAATGCAGGAGAGAGTGTGTGGAGAAAAGGGAACCCTCCTACACTGTTGGTGGGAATGTAAACTGGTACAACTACTATGGAGAACAGTATGGAGGTTCCTTAAAAAACTAAAAATAGAACTACCATACGACCCAGCAATCCCAACCCTGGAAACATATAAGGAGAAAACTATCATTTGAAAAGATACACACACACCAATGTTCATTGCAGCACTATTTACAACAGCCAAGACACAGAAGCAACCTGAATGTCCATCAATAAGAGGAATGGATAAATAAGATGTAGTACATGTATACAGTGGAACATAACTCAACCATGAAAAAGAATCAAATGTCATTTGCAGCGACATGGATGGACCTAGAGATTATCATATAAAGTAAGTCAGAAAGACAAATGCCATATATGAATCATATGTAGAATTTAATTTTTTTAAGTGATATAAACTTATTTACAAAGTAGGAACAGACAGTCAGATTTTGAAAATAAGCTTATGGCAACAAAAGGGGAAAGGCTGGGTAGGAGGGATAAATCAGGAGCTTGGGATTAACATACACATGACAATATAGAAAATAGATAACCAACAAGGACCTGATATATAACACAGGGAACTCTACTCAGTAACCTATGTAGGAAAAGAATCTGAAAAAGAAGGAATATATCTTTATGCATAATTGAATCACTTAGCCGTACACTTGAAACTAATACAACACTGTAAATCAACTATATTCCAATAACATTTAAAAAATAAAAATAGAACTACCCTATGACCCAAGAGTCATACTTATGAATACAGTGTGAACATATCAGAGATATTTGCATATCCATGTTCACTACAACATTATTCACAATAGCCAAGAGATAGAAGCAATCTAAGTATCTGTTGATGGATGGGTGGGTAAAGAAAATGAGGCATATACATACAGTAAAATATTTTTCGGCCTTAAAAAAAAAAAAGGAAGTCTTGTCACATGCTACAACATGCAGGA